CACATGACACACACACGACACACTCACACACATGACACACACACACACACACATGAAACACACACACACATGACACACACACACACACACACACACACATGAAACACACATACATATCTAGAAAAATAGAACTTCTTTAAAAACTTGTTATAATAAAAAATAAAGTCTTATGTAAATATTTATGTCTTTTTATTTTAAGAAATATGTAGAATAATAATTTAATTTAAAATAATTTATTCATAACATTTATGAATTATTTTCTATAATTTTAATTATTTGGTACATAACGTAACGCCTCTTCAGAACCAGTACATTAGCCAATTCCAGCCCAACGAATGTTCCAAAAGCATTATTTGCAAATTCCATTTTTTTAGTGTTTTCTTCGGCATACGTTTGGGTACTGCTTTCAGTAAATTCAATTGTTTTTAATTTATCACGGGCTTCGTAATCCTTGTATTGGTCTAAATTTTGAGAGTTTGGCTCAAATATATTATACGAGTCTACATCAACTCGGTATTCTGTAATATATAAAAACACAAATTTGTAATTAGTAAGAGCCTAGACTTTAAAAAAATAGTTTATATAATATATGTACATTACAAGTATTTAAAAACATGCTTGAGAAAGAGGCTGCTGCTATTACCCATTGAAAACCCAAAAAATCAAGAGAAAAACAAAGATTTTAACAAGTATTATTATGTAAACAGATTAATTACCGCCTTCATTGAGTCGTTTTTCTGAAGAGGGGCTATCACATTGGGTTTTATCGTTATTTGGCTCCGTTTCTGGTACTATTTCAGCTTTTTATAAAATTAATTAAAAATAAAAGTAAATGTAAAATAGTATCTATATATAAAACGTTACTAAAATCAATTTTTAAATAAAATATACAATCATAAAAAGAAAAATAAATACTTACGTTTGTGACGGTTCATTATATATTTTAATAAGTTATCGTGCACAGGTAGGAGTATGAAACTTTAAATTAACATTGTTTTGCAGTGCTACACGAATTTAGAAACAAATAGGTATATTCCCCCACCCTTTCTTCATCACCAGTTAAAAAGTTTCGGGATAATCACGTAAAACGATGTGGTAACCCTTTCGATAGGGTTAATTCTATAGTAGTACATTTAATGGGTAACAAGGTTTTTCTACGTTCATTTTGAATGGGTAACCGTTTTTTTTGGCTTAACTCTAAACCCGGGTTTTACGGTCCCTGGTTTAATGTAACCACTACGTTTTATGGCGCATGCTGTTAAAGCAACTCAACTGACATTTTTCTAACCATTTCAAGTTATTTAATTTGTGATTGTAAACCCATTTTTGTGGAATAAAAATAACCTATAGCACTCGGCGGCTGCTTCCTTTATGTGAAAGGATTTTCAGAATCGGATCAGTAGTTTCAGAGATTACAAACAAACTTAACCACTTTATAATAGGTACTACCTGTTGTTTGACCAGAAATATATAAGTTGTTGTGTACTAAGCTGTATAAGTTGTTATAGTTTTTTAACTATCCCACGGGAACTTTTTAATTTTCCGGGATGAAAAGAATCTAAGATATTGCCCGGGGATATAAGGTACCATCATGCAAAATTTCATTTAAATCGGTCCAATACATTCGGAGATTAGCCCGTACAAACAGGAAAACAGACAAACGGCTCGCTCGGGTTCGTCCATACCTACGAATATGTTGTATTATACCTTTACCTTTTATCCAAATTATATGCAGTAAAAGGGAAAAGTCTTATGTTTTAAACATTTTAGACGATAAATTTACTTATTTTGATAAGAATTCATAATTGTTGATAATATGATCAATAAACATGACCTACTGATTTAAATTATTTTTTTAATATAAAAAACTACTTTTTGTAGCTTAAATATAAAAGTTAGACATATGCTGTCGCTGAATTTTTTGTAGGCATTATTAAGCTCTACAACTTTTCTCTAGAACATAATCATATTTCTCTCATCGTTAAGGCAGCGTTCGTAAGAAACGTTTTCGTTCGACGGTTTTTTCTCAGACTTACTTTGCAAATCCGACTACCACGAAAAAGCCTTTTCATTCTTGGGGTTAATATATAGCCTATAACACTCAGAAAGAACGTGGCTTTCTATTGGTAAAAGAATTTTGAAAAACGGTTCAGTAGATCCAGAGATTACCCCCTACAACGTCACAAGATCACAAACTTCACCTCTTTATAATATTAGTATATTAGTATAGATTTAAACCACATTTGTTTTTTAAATAATAGCAAACTAAATTAAAATTATTATTCTTAATTCATTTTAACTTTTTTAAATTACACATAGATGAATTATGTAGCTTAAATAATTAATATTTTATTATTTTTTCCTTTATGGTTATAAATATAATAATGGCAACACTAAACCTGACGCCACGCAAGTCAGCAACTGGCCCCAAACTCATCCCTGGACATCGATTTGCAAGATTACTTTTTGCCCGAGATCACGTGAATTGGAATTTGGAGCAGTGGAAGAAGGTTCTTATTACTGACGAAAGCAGAATGTGTTTGCATGGTGCCGACTGCCGTAATTTTGTTTACCGGCGACCAGGTGAAAGATATGCACTATGCGGCAAACAGTCATATAGAGGGGGCTCAGTTATGTTTTGGGCAGGATTCTGTTACGAAGCGAAAACCGAGCTTATATTCATAGAAAATGGATCCCTTACAGCCGCTAGGTATATAACGGAGGTTTTAGAAGATCATGTGATGCCTTTTACTGGGTTCATTGGAGAAGATTTTCTGCTTCTACAAGATAATGCTCGCCCACAGACTGCTACATCAGTAAGGTATCTTCAAGAGGTCAGAGTGTCTACTATTGCCTGGCCAGCGCGAAGCCCTGACTTCAATCCGATGGAGCATGTATGGGACCATCTCAAAAGAAAAGTTAGAAGTCGCGTAGTAGTCCCGAGCAACATTCAAGAATTAAAAAGCGCCTTATTAGAAAAATTGGAGTCTATTACACAAGATTATCTAAAAAAGGGTGTCAAATCTCTGAAAAACTGATTAAAATCTGTAATTAAAAATAGAGGTGTTAATACGCATTATTAAAAATCATAAAACCAATCGAAATCTTTTAATTTTCCCATTAATTTGCGGCTTACATTTTTATACCAAACCCGCGAAAAATCATTAAATTTGATTTTCCTCTATTTTCGAGCAATAATTTTTATTTAAATTATTCACCGATTATTGATTTAGATACCTAGGGTATACAGCTACCCATATATAATAAAAAAATATCATATCTTAAGTTTGTCCATTTTCTCTAGGTGGCCCGATTTTTTTGCACGCCAGTGTAGATTACTAATTAATATTTTTAAAATTGTAATAATTATAATAATAACAGCTAAAATTAAGTAAATAATATGCCATATTCAACTACAAAACTAATTAAAATTATAAAAATGTTTAAAGTTAAAGAATATTGTAAGGTACTTTGATGCCATTTTTCAATTTTTTGAATTCATTTTGTATTTGGGTAGGCTGTCTGAAACAACTATATAATACCTTAGAGACATCTAACACCTTAGTCTCTCCCGTGACCATGATTGCTGTAAAGCATTCGAAACGTCGGGAACCAAAAATCAAAATAAATTCGCGATAAAATCCGAAGAGTTTTTTTTAAAATGTCAAATATTCGCGTAAATCTAAGTCTTTATGAATTGTTTATCACAGTTAAAATGGTTAAAATCACTGAAATATTATAATATTTACCATAAGGTAGTTTGCACATATTTATAAAATAAAACAGATTTCTATTCAAGTAAACAAAAATAGTTCGAATTATCGCTGTCCAATTTCTTTGTATAGGATGAGGTATCCGTACTATAGTATTAAGTGATATGTGGTCCATGGAATGTCATGTGCTCAAAGACATAGACTTTGAACAATTGCTTGATGATTAATTGATTTTGCTTAAACTAGAAGGATACCTTTACAATCAACATAGACTTTTAAACACTAACCTGTGAATGCTAAGAGCTACTTTTCGAAATCATATTACAATTGTCTATTAATTTATTGTGATTGTAAAGAAATAAAAATAATTGTGGAATAATTTTGCTTATACTCCCTACTCTTACAGACAGGGGCCCCGTGATTCTTGTTTGCCCAGGGCGAGGGCCTCCAATATGTCAAAGACGGCCCGTCTGCGTTTGCGCTCTGAAATGAATCCTTAAAGACGTTTTTGTTTAAGAATCCAAGTGCTAACAATTGTTTACTTTTAGGACGCCGTGCTTGAAAGAATGTCCTCTGTTTGTAGAAGACTTAATTGTGGCTGTAAAATGAGAATTGAAATAAAAAAAGTAAAAATGCAATAGTTGTAATAAATTACACTGAAGTTTATTTCTCATCCGGAATACATATTGACCGATGTAACTTACATTACTTGCATCACTTCACAACTCTTCATTACAAACCACTCAATCAACATACATTTCTCATGTCTGAGGAAACATATTTTTTTGTAGTTTTCTAAATATTTCGTTACAAAATTCTAAAATCTGATAATACAATGAAATTTAAGCATTCTTACAGTTTAACCACTACATTCATTTAGTATTGAAAATAAACGATCATGATAATAATAATAATTAAAAATTGATTTAAGTTCTCGATAGGTATATTTTTACAATTTCAACTAAAATACGCTCATTGCTGGGAGGGCGGGAGTGTGGGGACGAAGTGCAATCATACGTTCGAACGAACACTATACATTGTATACATTTGTAAAAGTATCAAAATCGAGTAAAAGGCCTACAAAAAATTATCTCGAGATACTAACATTCGTTTACGTAGTATAACCTAAAATTGAGCTATTTAGCGCAGGAGCCGCCCGACGAGCGGCGCGGGGGCGGCTGCCGCGCTAAAGGGCGACGAGGGTAGGTATTTAAACTATTTGGCTTAATTATATTTATATGAGATGAGCGCAAATAAAAGCGGTGCAGTGTCGGTGTGGCGCGGCTAGTCCTCCGCCTCCTCGTCCTCGGACTCCTGCTGCTGCAGCCACGTCAGCCACGCGTTCACCTGTCGCAATACACAGCGGTCGTTTTAGTTATAACTAGCACAGGAAGCAGCCCTGGGTTTACACTAGGGGCACTCGGGGCTAGTGCCCAGGGCGGCAAAATTTGGAGTGTGAGCAAAAATTTTTTTAACTTTATGCTATGAAAATCAATGATTTTGAAAAATTAGGAAGTTATTGGTTCTATACCGATTTTTAATAATCGCGTTCTCACTGGATCTTCACGATTTGAAATCTAGTATACAGTACATATTTTTTTTTAATAACATTTAAGATACTTATTCAAAAATTTAAAATAATATCCTTTTTCAATAAATAGTTTTTATATACTTATCCTTTAACCTAAAGAATACTCCCGTACATCATGGGGGCGTAAAGATTGTAGATTTGGTTTTACTAAATTCATTTTCTGTATTAGACCAGGGTCAATAAATTATTAAAAACCAAACAAAATTATAGTAGGATGAGGAAAAAACCCATTGGAAAAGGAAGAAAATATAACAAAAATGAAAGGAAAAATAATGTACGGGCGATCTGATGTCGGAAAGTGGCAAGGGGTGAGTTTTTAAGCGTAAAAAACGGCTTATCTCGATTTCCGGCGAAACTACAAGTCCTATGGAAAAAATAATAAATCATCTAATATCGAAAAAGCACCCTAATTTTCAATCAAAAATTCTCGCGTCAAAATATCTGCTTTTATAAAAAGGTGGGTGGGTTTTTTGTTGAAATCTTTACTTTTTGATGGTGTAAAAAATTTATATTATTATGGTAAATTTTCTCAGAAAAAGCAATTAATAAAGGTAATATTTAATAAGACATCAACAATATTTTGAGAAAGCTGTAGAATCTTTAAATTATATGCGTAGATGCCTATTTATTACTATTTTAAGATTACCTACGGAAAATTTTACCCCATCAAAATGTCATCATCCCATCATTTCATAGAGAAGTGAGGAAGGGGCTAGGAGGGTCTGGCTTATATTTTTTGCCCGTAAATTATTTTTCCTTTCATTTTTGTTATATTTTCTTCCTTTTCCAATGGGTTTCATCCCACTATTATTTTTTTCACTTTTTCAGTCCTTGGTCTATATATCGTCACGGAGATTATTCGCCTGGTTAATCTATAAATCTATACAGATAAATAAAATTGAAATGTCTGTTTGTTATCACAAAATAACACCATTTTACTAAATGCATATAAAATTAGATACGGTACTTATAAGAATAACAAAATTTTTAAAATTTTTGTCTGTCTGTTTGTTCTGGCTAATCTCCGAAACGGCTGGACTGATTTTGACGGGACTTTTACTGGCCTATAGCTGATGTTATAAGGAGTAACATAGGCTACTTTTATTTAAGAATAACAATTAGGGTCCTGTTAAAAAAAATGAAAACGTAGCTAGAGACCCTACTGTAAGGTATAGGTAATGTAGTATATAGGTAATAGGGCGGTATTTTTCACGGTGCCCTAGGGCGGCACTTGAGATAAATCCGGCCCTCAGGAAGTATATAGGAACTCTTTTTTTATTAATGATAATAATATTTTTTATTATTAATGATGTCTAATGAGAGGCCGCACCTGGAAGAGCGCCTCGCCCTTGCCGGGGTAGGCGTCGGTGACGTCCTCGCGCCAGCGCAGGAACGCCTCCTCCTCGCACACCTCCAGGTTGTACAGGTACATGAACCAGCGCAGCAGCATGCCTGCGGACACGCACACGCCCCACGCCCGGTGGCGGTGGGCAAGCCATTTTAAATATGTACAATGTTTTTGTGTGGTTGAGGTATCTCGAGTGCTAATACATATATAAATAACAAATATTTAGGATAAAGAATATTTAAAGCCGTCTTTGATACATACGTGAGTATTAAACGCGAGGTTTACCTTTGGGGTATCTGTGTTGGTGCGCGTGGAGCTGCACGGCGTAGACGGCGGCCAGCTGCAGGTCGGGGCGGCCCTCGAGCAGCGCGGTAAGCAGCGGCGCGTAGGCCTCCGCCAGCGTCTTTTCGCGCTCCAGCGCCGCCTTGTCGGGCGGCTGCGCGTCGGCGCCCGCGGCCGCCGTCACGTGCTCGGCCAGCAGCGCCACGAGCGCGGACACGAAGGCGCCGTCGTGGCGCACGGCGGGCTCCACGTTGGCCTTGATCCAGCGGTAGAGCGCGGGCGGCGCGGGCTCGGCGGCCAGCTGGCGCGCCAGCGCGGCCTGCACGCGCAGCTGCGGCACCAGCGCGCCCAGCCCGCGCGCCTCCAGCGCCGCCAGCGCTCGCGCCGCGCTGCCGCCCTCGCGCTCCGACACGTAGGCGCACAGGTTCACCTTGCTCTCGGCGTACAGCGCCGCCAGCCGCTCCGCGCCCACGGCCGCGCCCAGCGCCTGCAGCACCTCCAGCAGCAGCGGGTGGTGCTGTCCGCCCTCGCACCACAGCCCCACCTCCGACAGCGTTATCAGCTTCTGTAACACACACACACATTTCGTTAGAACTGAATAATAATACAGGGATGCTAATTTTTTGTGAAAAAAAAAATAATATTTATGTATAAAGAGTTATTTCAAGTGAATATTTTTTTAACAATATTCATTTGATATGATTCCATCGCTCGTTTAAAAATTAATGAGAGAAGTACTTTATTTTTTTACAAATATCTATTTTTATTTTCTTTGAAATATTCATATAGTAATTTAAATAATCAATGTTCAATTGACTATTTATTTTTATATTTATAGTTACAAAAATCATAACGCCAATCCCCTTTTTCCCCCTCTCATGGCGCGTTTAAAGAAGTTTTACTTGTTTTCAAAAGAGGTTTTTTATCATCGCAAATTCTTACCAGGACATTATGTAATCAGACAGACATCTCAAAGGTAGCTTTTCTGAATAAATCATATATTTTAAATTTCTTAAGGGCCTTAAAGCAGTTCTTAACCCGCAGTTTTATATTTGTCTTTTCTGTGCAGCATCAGATTAGTCTGGCTAATAATACAAATATTGTCGTTGATTGCCGGGTTGTCACGTTGATGTAAATAGCTCTCTCATAATATGCTCCCGGTTAAATGATACAATCTTACTGTCGTCGGTTTTGATCTTTACTAGCCGCCTTTGACCAATTGACGGATCTTTCGAAAAACTTTGAAGCCTTTGTTACATTCCATTGCACTATAATACGCTTAGTATCATACTGTGTTTTAGGATTTCAAAGTTGGTCTTGTTTGAGATGAAGCAGTCAGCACTTGAATCTGTCATTCAACAACTGCAAAATCTCAATAAAGTACAAACGTTCTTTGCTCAATATTATGACAATTACAGTGTAATTACTTAGACAACGTCGTGTACGCTGTTGGGTATAATTATTACACCCAACAGCGTCCACGACGTTGTCTAAATGCGAAGACACAGTAAAAACTTTGTATCCGACCGGGATTCGAACTCTGACACCTGTATTTGTCAATCTTGTGTCTTGGCTGCTCGACCACGCTGCTCTTGGCCATAAAATATGAGTGTGAGAAATTAGCGACCATATTTTGCGTGGAATAATGCGAAAGAAAACCGTATGAAAACTCGATAACACGCGTTTTCCCAGACATAAAACTAATGTAGATCAATCGCATGGCGCCCCTCGACGCGGTACCTGTCGCACGGCGTGCGCCAGCAGCGCGGGCAGGCGCGCGTGCGGGTGGCGCGCCAGCAGCGCGCGCAGCGGCTCGGCCAGCGGCGCGCGCTTGACGGCGCGCACCACGGCGCAGGCGGCGGCGGCGGCGCGCGGCGCGGGCGCGGCCAGCGCGTGCTCCAGCACGGACGCGATCACGCGCCGCAGCAGCTTGTCCGGCAGCTGCAGCTCGCGCAGGCGCTGCAGCTCCGGCGCGCCCTCCTCCTCCGCCTCGGCCTCCGCGCGCTCCGCCAGCGCCGTCACCGCCTCGATGGCCAGGCGGCACGCCTCCTCCTTGTTCAAACCCTGCAAACGAACATTATTGAATAGAGTCATCACACTTTTATCGTTTCGATCGTTCCTTTGTCTCATTTCGACGATTCTAGTCACTATTACGTTTTATAAAACACGAAGGTCGAATTTACCTTATCTTTCTTCGGCTTATCCTTTTTGTCCGGCGCCGGCTTTATGGTGATAGCGGGCTCCTTCAAGAGTGGCGGCGCACTTGCAAACGACGGTGTCAATACGTCTACGTAAAAGGTCGAGGCGTTAGTTTTAATATAATCATGATTGAAACGATAAACATTTTGATTTTATTTTAAACAAAACTATCTTTTTGGTTTTTTCGCGGATTTATTTTGATTTTTGGTTCCCGGCGTTTCGAATGCTTTACAGCAATCATAGTCGCGAGAGAGACTAAGGTTATAGACGTCTCTGAGATCATTATATACTTGTCGCTTGTATAATCATAAAATTAAACATAATTAAAATATTAGTTATTTATGTAATCGATATTATTGAGTCTCTCCCGTGAACAGGATTGCTGTAAATCATTCGAACGTCCGGAATGAAAAATAATAATAATTTTCTCGAAAAATCCGAAAGTTTTATTTAAAATATAAAATATTCGCGTAACTCTAAGAAAGTGTGTGTACTGACTGGGCGTGGCGAGCGGCAGCGTGGGCTGCTGCGGGCGCGACAGGCGGTTGGCGGTGAAGAGCAGCGAGTTGGGCGCGGGCCGCATCTGCAGCTCCTGCAGGCCGGTGACAGGCACGCGCGCCTTGCTGCGCGCCGCGTCCTTGCCGGCGTGCGCGTGCGCGTGCGGCGCGTGCGCGTGCGCGCCGTGCTTGTAGTGCGAGCGCGGGAAGAAGCCGGGCGCGGAGCGCTGGCGGAAGGCGTCGCGCAGGCCGCCGTTGCCGAAGAGCTTGTCGGCGGGCGGCACGAGCGCGGCGGGCGGCTGCAGGCTGAGGCCGGCCAGCACGTCGTCGAGCGGGCGCGCGCGCAGGCCGCCGCGGAAGAGCGCATCGCGGTCGCGGTCGCGCGCGGAGGCGGCGCGCGGCGCGTGCTCGTCGTCACCGCGCAGTTGGTGGATGGGCACGGGCCCCTCGGCGCTGGTGGCCACGCGCGGCACCCAGCCGCCGCGCCGCAACTCGCCCACGTCACGCAGCATGAAGCGGATGCGCGGCGCCAGCTCGCGCGACGCGGACAGCGTGTCGATGCGCGCGAAGTACTGGTCCATGAGGCCGCGGCCGCGCTCGGAGTCCAGCACGCGGCCGCAGGTGCGCACGAGCTGCGCCAGGCACTCCAAGTCCTCGTGGTGCTCGGCGGCGGCGCGGCGCGCGAGCAGGTTCTGGATGCAGCGGTGCAGGATGGACTCGGCCAGGATCTCCAGCTTGCCGAGCTCGCCGATGAACTTGATGTTGCCGAGCATCTTGCACTTGGCCAAGTGTCGTTTTTCTTCTTCTTCTGGTGTGAGCACTTTGTCTTCGAAAGCCGCGAACGCCTGTATAAGTTATACCTTCTTTAAAATATACTCAAATCATCGTATTATTTCGCCGTTCCAGAACAATTGACATTGTTGTTTCCAAGACATGTTATTAAAAATTATAAAATATTTTGTATCAAGTATAATATGATATGAAAATTCAAGAAAAAAGTATAGTACATTTAGCTTTTCATTATTTGTATAAAATCGCTTACTTATTATATACAAAATGAAGTACCTACTTGTTTAAAAAACAAAAACATTATCATTAATAAAAATAATTAAACTATTATTTTATTTATTTAATTTATAAATCTAAAAACACGCTTTAGTGATGAACTGAACTAAAAAGTAAGAAAAAAAATTTTTTTTTAGTACATATAAGAATAAAGGGATTAACGAGAAAATTAAAAATTAAAAAAGCGCGGGGTGCTCGATATCAGTTGTTATAAATATTCTATTGATATGATTTCTAAAAGTAGCTCCACCCTTTTTCACAACAACATAAATTTTCCCGTTAATCACTTAATTCTTATACAAAAAAATATTTCATACTTTTTATGTACTTTCATGTTTATCGGTTCATCATTAAAGCGTATTTTTTAAATTTTTTAAACTATAATTTATTTTCCATTTTTTAGTTAGATCTGCTGTAAAAGCGTCTTTTTTAGTTTTTGAAACTATTTTTTATTTTAAAATTGTCTTTATTACATTTTTTTTTCGAGTTGTTTTGTATTTACATTTTATAAATGTAAAAAGACGGGGAGTAAGTTTGTAGTCTTACACACGGCTGGTATAGTAGATTTTATGATTTCTATGGAAAAATTCATGATCCTGAAGGTCCTGTCAGGATATTGGGACAAACTAATTAAATTATTGTTTTGTGAAGCATAATTCTCTTTCAAACCTTCAGGTAAATAGGGTCTTGGACTGTAGTAATAAAATGATGTGATGTTTTGTATAGCGGTAGTTTATGGGGTTAGAGTTCATTACTAAAAGGAATAATTAAATAAAAATCATGATTTTGAAGACAATATGGCAAGAAAAATCGACTATTTTAATTTTTATAATTTTGATATACCCACTCTCACAATTAAGACGAATATAACGACATCTCTCAAGCTAAAATCAATCAATCCGTTTAGGCTACAGAGCGTGGCAAAGAAATACTTATAGGTACATACATATATTCGAAAAACATAACCCTCCTATTGCAGTCTGGTAAAAACAGTAGACTCTTGTTGCCAGAGATACTGCACTGAGTACACCACAAAGTTGTTCTCAATGACCCATTATTTATCATAAGTTTAGTTCCACGCAAATAATATTGTTATATTTTTGTCGCTAGTAAAGGTATCTAACACATGAAATACGTGCACATGTGAGAGTTGCTCAATGTGATTACATTTATAGTCATATTAGGATTAATACAAAATATTTTGTTAATTTCAGAAAGGTTTGTACTACAGAATTTACTATTAATTTTATTCCTTAGTGCTTTTAACTTTCATGATGAGAAATGCATAATGTCAATTTCTTGACTCGTGTAACGTGGAAGATAACAACGCTCACCTGAGCTCGGTTCTCGAACTCGGTGCGGCATTTGTTTAGCAGCAGCAGCTTGAAGGTGCATGGCTGGCCGGGCGGCTCGAAGTTGGGCGCCTCTTCGCTGAGGCGCTTGCATAGCTGCGCGTACATAGACGAGTACTTTGGCTCGTCCAGCGCTTTCTCGAAGATGAGGAGAATCACACCTTTCAGCACCTTGTCCGAGTCCAGTTCCAGCCCGAGCAGGTCATCACTAAGCTTTTGGAATTTCTCTGGGGTGAGTTTGTTGAGAATGCCGCGCACCTGTACACCAATGACCAGATACGTTAAGACATTTTATCGTGCGCGTCCACAATGCGAGCAATGATCGAAGACGGACATACTTTTCTATGTATGATGTCGTGTTTGGCGTCGCCGTCGGGCACCTCGTGGTGCCGCAGCGAGGATGGCGGGACCCAGCGCCGCCTCGGGGGGACCGGCGTCCGCCCCGCGGCGCGCAGCACGGGCCCCGACTGCCGCGCGCTCTCCGTCTTGCGGCCGGTGTCGCTGCCTCACGCACACCCCTCCGCCTGCCTGCACCAACGCCGTGCACAGATCGCCTCCAACGACACCCTGCAACAACACACAAATAAACGACACACTGAATATAAAATTTGGATAAAGATTTAAAGCCAAAAAAATTAATTATAGAACGTATTTTTTGTTAAAAATGTACAATTAAATTCTTATGATCTAGGTCCTGAAAGTATCTATTTCTTTTTAAATTACATCTTAATTTGAATGAATATTATTAGTATTATAAAGTACATTAAAACCCGATTGCGACAAAATGGGCAGTGCTTAATTACCTCCATATTAAAAAAATGTAGTTTAAATTTCCACAACTTTAGGAACATGAAAAATTATAAAATAGGCATACTATAGTTGAATTTTTAAAGTCATCTGTTTTTAAAGAAAATTTATACATATGATAAAATTCTAACTGGGTCGAATCTGTACATTCAGTGAATCGACCAATTAAAACGTCTTTAAAACCAAAAACGCAATTTCGAAATAGAGCTAAGAAAGTACTACAACCCGTGTTAAGATTTTCATATGTATAGAATGTATAGACTCTAAGTAGACTATTTTTTAAATTTGAGAAGATAATTTTTTACTAGTAATTTTCGATTAGGTGATATATCGACTTTGGACAACGTAGATTGAGAAGGCTAAGGCTCAGCCTTCTCGTTAGGTCTTTTTTATTTTAAGCCCAAAACCCTTACTATGAAGAATTAATGTAATATTTTGAATGTGGGCACTAAATAGTGATCATCGAGGTGTACTTCATCATATTCAAAAATCTGACAGGACAAAATCTATTGTAATGACTGGAACTAGGTCAAAACATCAAAGATTTCTAGATCTCTCAATTTTTTGTTGGGGAAACAGTTTTCTCGCGTTTCGCTGCATAAAGGTACAGACGTTTTAACGTATGTTGTAACGGCACGTGAAACATATGTGTTAAGGAATCTAGCTCATAGAGGATTAGTTTTTTCTATTATAACGTGGAGTTATTTATCGGAAGTATAACGAGAACCAGCGTGGAGGCCGGGGGGTTGTTGACAGCACGGCCGCGGACGCCGCGCGCACCGCGTCTGTCCACTAACTTCCACATTGACCTTTACAACACTGACCGCGCCGTGGACCACTCACCACATGCTTAACTGTATAGCTATAATATTTACTGTCAATAACTAAACATGTAAAATAAACCTTTATTTTAATCGAGAAGAATTTTTTTTTAGATTTTTATTTATAAATTTTAAACGATTTATTAAATGTATCCATATGGATACAAAATTAAGTACATATTATGTATATTCATACGCGTCTTGCCGCCTAATATACTGCGTGCCCCAGGTCAGTGTCGGACAGGTGACAGAAGTTCACGAGACACTATAATTTAAGAGAGCACCGAGCTTTTTATTTCAGTAGGACGAAAACGGGCAAGGAGGGGGAGGGGGGGCGGTCTAGTATGGACGGAACGCGTGCGAATTTAGGTATTATTAAAACAAATACACATTCTGAAAATGTAAAGTGTGTACGTTACAGAAAACGTATAGTTTAGTTATTATTTAGAAACTGATAAACTTCCTTGAATTATTTACGCCGCACTAAAAAAAAAATATTTTGTTTTTAGACATCATTTTAGATTTTTTTTTCTATCGAGGAAACTACAAGTAATCGTGTCTAAAGTGTGCGATTTACAGAATAAATCCTTAAATATCCTACATATTAATTACATAATTAAAGTTTTAGTAATAACAATACAGCAAGGGATCAAACGAATGCAATCATTTCGTGATTGCCTCGGTGCGCATTCAAGTTGCCACTCACAAAATATATATTATATATATACAAAGTATTTCTAAATTATGTGATTTGCTATATTTATATTTTACAGATAAAATAAATTAAACATGTAAACACAGCATTAGCACTAAACGAAATACCTACTTGATGTGCAACTGTTTAGAATGAAAAATAGATGTGTTAAATAGTACAGTTCTGAATTTATTCGTGTTATTGTTTCAATACAAAGATTTTAAAATAGACAATATTATTTCACCAGCAACAATATAAGTACTTTCTACTCATATTAAAATATGTACATAATTTACATTTTACACCTCTTAGGGTAACAGTTGCTCACTTTCTTTAACAAAAGTTTATATTTAATAAACTACAATTAGATAGATACAATTATATAGATTAGATAAAACTGTTTTATTGATTGATATTACAGAAGAATTAGGAAATTATTATATGAATATCTAAAGTAACATACAGCTCACTCGCGAGATTTACATACATTCGCCAGAAGCGCTATGATTTTTATCTTTTTATCTAACGGCGCCACCGACGTAAGCAGTTTCATTAATAAACATTCAGTTCTCAGTTGTATGAAGCAAACGCGCGCACGAGTTCGAAACATTCACAGCATTATTATTAAATATAGAGAAAAACATCGAGTTACACAAAATTTTAATTAAAAAATACAAAGTTGTATCACTCGGGTATAAAATTTCAATAAGGTGAATCGTTTTGTCCTTAGTGGTGGAGTTCATTAAACTTAACTTGGGTCGATACACCTCACAGAATGTATCGAGACTGCACACATCGCTCTGCAGTGTTAGTATAATAATAATATTTTGTGTAAGAAGTAAGGTTGTAAGGAAGAAAATTATAAATTGCAAAGTCTATTTTCACACTAATGTACATATATTTTACATAGACTTTCAACTGTTTAAGAGTATCCGACGGGGCGATTGTTGCGTAGTCATTAGATGTGAGTATCGTATGCTACAGCATCAGCTGAGCTACTGACAGGCATGGCGGGAATGGCAGGTGGTCGCGTCGCGCGTAGGTCGGCGGCCGTCCGTCGGTCTGTGGCGAGCGGTCGAGAGTCGAGACATCAGACAATATCATTCAAAATATAATCAAACTGGTCGAGTAAGCCGTCGCCGAATTAATGTGATAAATCGAGGGGTACGCGGGGTGCTGAGCGCTCGATAACGCGAGGTCGGCGCACTCGCCGCTCGCTGCCAGAGCGCGCCCTCCGAGGCACGCGGGGCCTTGCTCGCAACGCGCGCTCCCAAGGTCGAGGCGCAGTTAGCCCTCGATGCCGACGTAGCGCTCCTAGGCTCGGTGCACTTTATTTGAGCACAACACCTTAAAAGGTCTACGGTCGTCGTTCCTACGATGCTACTTTATACAAATAAGCATAATGTAGATCTGAATAGTTTTATTATTTATAGAACCTGACAAATTGTTATCAAATCAATGGTAAATATGAGATTACGAACATGAGTGGCACATTATTTGTAGGCGCCGACATGTAAATCACAGAGTCTGAACGTTTAGGATGAACGAACACGTGTCCTGCGTCAGAGGCTCGGGCGGCCGGCGGGCGGTGTCAGTGACCCCGGGCGCGCTGCATCCCCCGTGCCCAGGTGCGGCGAGCTGGCCGCGCGCCTCCTGCTCGGTCGTCGACCCGCCACCTCCCCCCCGCCGCCCCCGACCTCTTGTACTCGTCCCACTCACACATGACAATGATTTTTGGTTATTGCGAATTCCGATGCGAAACTATCATCCACCGAGTCCGTCACTCTTAGGAGTACGTGCTTTATGACTTTTTACGAAATAATCTATAAAAATATAATCTATTAAAATTGTAACTAAGCCGAATCTGTACATTAAATATTTTTTTGGAAAATCTTATTGAAATAAACATTATTATCGATACATAGGCCGAATCTATAGTTTTTAGAATTTTTGTCTGTCTGTCTGTTACCGCATCACAGAAAACTCCACTAAAGGGATTTTGATGATATTTGGTATGGTGACAGCTGGTTATCCGGGTCAACATATAGGATACTTTTTACCGCGGGAAAATGTTTCATTTCTAAGAAAAAATACAAAAACTGCAATGTAAGAGTATACTAATATTAAAACCTAAGAATTTGGTTTTCGGTCCTTTGTACGTGGGCGGAGCCGCGGGCAATCCTAGTAATTTATACTTTTAGTCTAGTCAACAAGTGCCTTTTAGGTCAACTTTTTTCAGCAGTCTCGGAAAAATATGAACCACCCGCCATTTGATTCGGAATGGCCTGTAAATTCAGTTCAGTCATAAATAATTTTCGAAACTTGTTGACTAGACTATTTTGCTTTTTTGGAATAGATCTAAATTCTAAACATCATTGCATCATTTAAAACCATTAATGAATAGAGTGATCATTTATTTAAGGCCGAGGCGATGGTTTATGTGTAAGTGAAGGGGTGATTGTTAGGGACGTAAATGTGCCCCACACGCACGGTGCGCCACCCTGCGACAGATGGAATAGGAATTTAAAGTATTGCGTGAAATTTTTAAGCGATAAATCCTATATATTTATCGTAAAAATGTGGCACGATATAAACTAGATAAATAATGTCAAATGTCGTCAACATTTAGTGTATCTGCGATTGAAACCGAATTTTATACATCTTCCTAGTAAATTTAAATTGAGGTGTATATATTGTTCAATTTTAATCATTATACTGTTTATTATTTTTTATTATACCTACTTTCGTTTACACACCGATACACACCTAACGAGCAAGTGGATAAATGAAAATTCTGCTATCTAAACCAGACAACTCTTCATTTAATTTAAATTTAGTGAAATATAGAATGTACAAGATGACGTTACTGTAGTAGTAACTGCACTGATTAATAATATTTATTATTTACTACCTGAGCGACCGAGCTTCGCTCGCTATCCTTTTTTGTTATATCGTATTTTTAAACGATAACTTATATGACTTAAAACTTCAATACAAAAGAAAAAGAAAAAAAAATCAAACGTAAAAACTTCGTATCCGACCGGGATTGGACACTGTGATTGTCAATCTTGCGCCTTGGCCGCTTGACCACGATGCTTATAGGCATAAGCGTGCGAAATTTGGGACCATATTTTGCGTGGATACGAAAGAATACGAAAGAAAACCGCATGAAAAGTCGAAAACACGCTTTTTCGCCCACGAAAGCCGTTGCATACCAAATTTCAGCGAAATCGTTAGAGCCATTTCTGTGATCGCCGATATAAATAAATAAATATGTAAATAAATATACAAGAATTGATCGTTTAAAGGTATTACATACTTACATAAACAGCTAAGGTAGGATAGGATGTAGGAGTAAACTCCTCATAACATTACTTAAGATAGACTTATTTTTGTGGGATCCCTATTCGTGTATTGTTTAGTTAAAGACGCGCGGGGAATAAGTAGGCTGGGGGTATACGCCAAGCGAGATAATGCTGAAATATCAGCCTGTTGCTGATCTTTCTTGCGTCTAACCGAAGCATTATGTTAATGCCGTCAATACATCAGCACTAGCAATATTCTACGCATTGCTCGAAGTGAAAAGTCTACGTTGTGGGGTAAAAACCCAGTTGTTATTTGTGTAAATTTGGTCACCGTTTTGTTTTCAACAATTATTTTGCATTAGACAAGATAAACGTAAATCAATGAACGTGTAGATTTAGGCCTGCCTTTTACTGACCAGCCTATCAACTCACAAAATTTTTTGAGGTCGACTAATAAGAAGTTATTGTCAATCCATACTATATTATAAACGTGAAAGTGTGTTTGTTTGTCTTTCTTTCACATCGAAACGGAGTGACGGATTGTCGTGATTTTTGTGTGGAGATAGTTGGAGGGCTGGAGAGTGACATAGGCACATTTTGATTTTGAGATAATCTTATTCCCACGGGAAAACACGTTATAATACAACCCAAAAAATATTAATGATCAGAATTACTTGAAACTTGGTATTAAAGCTCAAATACGTATAATGATATATATTTTACGTAATTCATCCCTAAGGGGGTAAAATAGGGGATAAAAGTTTGTATGAAACCTACATTTTTTGAGTTCTTTTGTAGTTTTAACGCGAGCGAAGCCGCGGGTTTTGCTAGTTACATATAAATATTTGGAGAGCATGAAAACTGCACTTGCGTTTGCGTATTTCAATATATTTGCGTGCGGTAAAAATAACGTATCTTTTTATTTAAATTTACTATTTTTACGTGTGTGGGGCAAACAGTTATAATGAATATAAAGTGAAGCAAGCGGTGACCGAAGAAGACACTTCATCGGAAGAAGGAATTAAAACATTTTATAAGTCGAATTTACCTCGCTTATCTTACATTAAAGTCGATTTGTCATTCCTGCGAGGTCATTAGCCGTACGTACCTAACCTAGCCAAGGTCAAGATCTACGTATTCTCGTCGAATGTCGCGACGTCGCCGCGTCGGCCGCAGATCATTGTCTTACAGATTTAAACTTCGAACAAATAAAAGTTTATATCTGAAACTATCACTTTTTAGATTCATAAGTTCATAGCCGAGGAGGACGACCTTTTCGACTATTGATGACAGCAAATAATTTGTGTCAAATACGTTATATTTGATGTTTAGCAGTTAGAGCCGGCACGACGAGGCCGGAGGTGGCAGGTAGGACGGATTCGTAATAATCGCATAGCAATAAAAGCGCAATAGACAAGGGTCCGCGGGGCGGGACGCCGGAGGGGAGGGAGACCGACCCACTTGCAGCGGCCGTGGCGCGCCGCGCGGCCCGCTCCGCTACCATTGACCCAGATGCGCTGCACCGCGGCCGCTTCCGCTCTCGCGGACTCTCCCGCGCTTCCCTCTGTACCGCAGGCGAGCGAAGGCCTCTCCGCGACCCCACGTTGCCTGCCTGACCTACTAACCGGGCCTGCCAACTCAATATGCATTGTAGACCTCTATAGGTATAAATAAATGCAATGATATTGCTCTAAAAACCCAATTTCAAGCTTCATGCTTTTCAATATTTTGTGCCATTTCTTTTAATATATTTTTCAATAGTGTAACTTCAGTACTAAGCTCATCATATAATATCTGCGCAATACTGGTAACAGTTCGATAAATAAAGAAAATACCAATGTAAATGTTACATGTGACACTTATTCGTGAACTATTACTGATCATTATTTAAACATATTTAAATCTTAAGAACTATACTGTACCAAAAAGCAAAAATGTATATTATAATTATGATGATGATGTTAAACTAGTATCGCGGAGAAATGTTTATAATGCAATAAACATTAATAACAAATCAATATGTATAATTTACAGAAACTTGTCATAAAAATATTTGACAAAAGTTTAAATCCTAAATCAAATATTGTTTGTTTTAAGACAAAAGCATTCACATAACTAAGAGCACAATACAATTATATTTTAGTACAACTATTCATTAGATTTGTCTTTTAAAAGTTAATCACTAAAATATTACTAGCAATATATCATTGAGTAAGATTGTTGTTTATATAAAATTACTAAAAAAAATTATACAACAGAAGTCTTTGGAATATTATCATAAAATGTTTATAATCAACATCACTTGCAAAATAAAAATAATATTTTTTTATAATAGTACTTTGTCGTACTAGAATTGAATATTAATGTGAGTGAATATAAAAAAATGGGACTATTAGGAAATTAACCTAAATATTAATAATTTATAAATTTCATTTAAATTACATGTTTACGAAAAATTTGTATTACTTAGGAAGCTCTAACCCCTAACAGGAAAAAGTTCAGAAAAAACGTACCCCAAGGGACAAACGAGCAGCTAGCGTTATTCGTTAAATACCACTTCCCTGGCACTGCCATTATACGAGGTTAGAATGCACCTCAGCCTTTCTATATTAGCATTACCGATATCATTATATACGCGCCATGATAAGGACACGGCGCTTGCAATAAACAATACAAGAGATTCATACAGATTCTAGAATAACAGGAACTTGTAAAATGGCTCACAAAGGTGACGCATCGACACGATCCGATCGAATATTCTTGGCGGATCCTGACCATCTCGCGGTAAATCCGCTCGTACTTCATGATGTTTATGATCATAGAGAGCCTTCAGAAGCCACTAAATGCACTATAATATAGAAAATTCACAAACTTACGAGGCGATGAAAGTCAATTGTGGAAAGCACACGCACCGCAACGCGACAAGCGAGTTCTTTTGAACGCACACAACTGCCAAAAATTGTGACTTTACGGTTTATTGTACACACATACACATATTTTACTCACACACGCAAAATGACAGTGAAAGTTTCGCCATAGACACTTTTTTATTCTTTTTTTCACTATTTATTTTTATTAGGCAAAAATAACTGTTAAACAATTCTTTAACAGATTAAAAAATCTGCTAGAAAGCCGATTTCCGAGAGCAAGTAGACAAACTAATGTGAAAGATTTCTCGGAAAAAGGGCGCCACACGACTGGCCCATGTCCGTACATTCAGTCAGGTTATGCAATTTATTGTGATTTGTGATATCTATTTTATACCTGGTTTTTGCTTCTATTGTGTTTGTATCTTACCTGGGCAATGTATTGTACCAGGAAGTTATAGAAGCTGAAGGAAGAATCGAGAAGGAGAAGTAGATGCACTGGTGGTCTTGACAGACTGATGGATATTGGATCAACACACAGCCTAAACCACTAGTCGTAGATACGTGAAATTTAAAAGACGTATTCCTTTTATGATGTAGGCATCCGACATGACACGTTTTTCACAATTCATCCCCTAAGTGGGTAAAATAGATTAAAGATTATATGAGACTCTTTCATTCTTAAGGTGAAATACACAGAAAGTGGTGTTTAGCTTTAAGATAAAAATAAGAAATATATTTATTTGATTTTTTCGAAATTCGTCCCTTGAAGAGGTAAAAGGGGTTAATAAAGTTTATAATTAAAGAGAGAAGAGCAAAGAATTATTTATGATCAGTATTACTTGAAACTTGGTATTAATGCTCTTCAATACAATTAAATAAATATGTGTTTTAGCTTTTTTTGAAATTCAATCCCATAAGGGGGTAAAATAGGGGATGAAAGTTTGTATGAAAATCTGTAATTATAATGTAAAAAAGTACAAAAATAAAAACAAAATATTCACCTGTAGACAATTTAAGCGTTTTAAAATCATTTTCTTTAAAATGATGTCCACATAGCTTTAAATATAAAGACTATAATTTCGCCAATTTTGTGAACAAATGTTTTTTGGGAACAAATGATATCAATTTTCTTTGTATCCTGGCATTACACAATTTGTCATTTTAAATAGAATAAAAAAAACATCCACGCTATACAGCTTTACAATAAACTGAGGGCCATAATGATCGCGACATCTGGCGGAAGAAAAAGGCAAAATGCTTCCCCATTTGTAATTGATAGTTATTACTTAGTCTATGGATGGATATGGAGTTTTTAAAAATATAAAAAAGTACAAGATCCATCGATTCGATCGGTCAATTTATTCATTTTTTTGTGCTTTTGATTTTTAGGTCGGTCGTTTTTTGGCTTATTATGTATTTATTAGCTATAAATAGTTTCTTCCAAAAATTGAAAAAAATATATATATAAAGTTAGCTGAAAAATTAATATTTGTATTATTTAATAAAATTAATCCAGTAGCTTAATTTTTGAATAGCGATCACTGCTTTACCAAGTTAATTATTGCAAATGCTTCAAAGTATATTATATGTACTTTACTTTATCAGAGGTATTTTATCATGCACAGATAAAATAGCTTTAATTTGATTTTAAATAATAAATCGCCATGAACGTACAAATGCAACAAAATATTACAGGTGCTTTTTTTAGTTGCGGCCAAGTGCGCAACGGCAACTACACTAAGTACTAACTACTTTTCTTGTTTTCTACGAATATTTCTTAAAGTAGAGTTTAATTTATTTTAATAAAAAGTGAATCAATTTTGTTCGAAAAGTCATTTTTTTATTAATTTATTTAAAAATACTAGCGGGCATATTTTAACAGACAACCCGGCCAAAACACAGTGTCACTTTTATTATTGTATAAAAAATGATTTTAATTTAATAAGTAGGTACTTGATGAACTTAGGAATTTTGCAGCTGGATCTTAGACCAACAATAGATACATTAATTCTCTATATCTTATAATGTTCTCCTGGCCGATTCTGGCCACGGCGGCCATAATTTAATAAGTAGGTACTTGATGAACTTAGGAATATTGCAGCTGGATCTTAGACCAACAATAGATATATTAATTCTCTATATCTTATAATGTTCTCCTGGCCGATTCCGGCCACGGCGGCCAATCTCATTGAGACTAGCCAACTGCGCAGGAGATATTATATTGCACAAGTGTACGCGCAGACACAACGTGCACTCTCTATTCCTGTCACTCTCATACTTCGGTGGGACGACACGAGACGCGACCGGTGAGAGTTAAGGCGCAGGACCCACGGCTTTACGTGCTCTCCAAGGCACTCACGTAAAACACCGCCAACTTCCCAACTCCGGGCTGTTACTGAGACTTACTAAACAGAATGACTCAATAACTAAGCTTGGCCCAACCCGGGACTCGAACCCAAGACCTCTTTATGTGCAGCCGTACTTGCTAGCCACTATACCACAGGCAGTTAATAATCCATATTTAATATTATAAATGTGAAAGTGTGTTTGTTTGTTCTTCTTTCATGTCGTAACGAAATGACGGATTGGCGTGATTTTTTGTGTGATGAGATTCCCTCGGAAAAACACACTATAAAACAAACAAAAAAAAATATTTGTGATCACAATTACTTGAAACTTGCTATTAGTATTCTTCAATACAATTAAATAAATACATGTTTTAGCATTTTTCGAAATTCATCTCATGAGGGGATAAAACAGGGCGTGACAGTTTGTATGAAACCTACCTTTTTAGAAGTTTCGGTTCAGTAAATCCATAGATGACCCCCTAGGCCCTACCACGTCACAAACTCGCAATTCACAAACTTTACCTCTTTGTAATATTAGTATAGATTATATATCTAATAAAGAAAATGTACAAATGGTCCATGGTGCTTAGTTCCAGGGTGCACAAATACAAAGAAGTAGGAACGGCAATGACGGTATGTCAATACTCACTGACAGGCACGATGTTGATGTCATTGTATAACAGCCAATCAAGATCATTTTCAATCACATGGTAACAGAGAAATATAAATTAAGTTTGTAGGAACTCTTTTGTTTATTATTTTTCCGCCTAATTAATATCGCTTTCAAAATCCCTTATCTATGCGGATGTCAATAAATAAAACCATATTTTTCACGCTTTCAAATAGCCTAAGAAAGATTGGTGATATAAATAAAACACTAAAAGTATAAAGAAATGTATAAGTATTTATTTAACTCTTATTAAGAAACATTGACAGTGTTATCACACTTGGTGCATTTTTAATGCAGAATCTCTCCAATTTTCAATTGGTTTATTACCTTGTATTGATTTGGAATTCAAAAGTAGTTCTACCAGGTCTCTTGTTCACTCTGTCTAAATAAATATATTAATGTATATGAAATAATTGACCCAATGTCTTCATTTCCAGCATTTCCACACATTATGTTTTCATGATCACGTCTTATGTTTAGAGACCATTATTTTTATACATACTACGTTGTATTGCTACACTATCTGGGTCGATTGACACAAAGACAACAAATAAATAATACGTGGCACTTTCATTAGTATTTTCCTTATAATTATCAAGTAAACATTTATATAATAATCTCTAATGAAAAACAAATTTCGCCAAATTTCATTTTATTTATTCTATTTAACATATTATCAAATATAAAAGATATAAAAACTTGTAAAAATATGTATGTATATTGTGCATCTTTTAATACTTAAAAGTCACTCTATTAAGACACTATTAAGTACACATGAGATTCGGACGGCCATTGCTTACAACAATAAATTATATAAAAATATTTAAGTACACTTCCGATCAATATATAAATGTAGAATAATATAATAAGCAATATTTACTTGTAGACATGCCGAGGCTTCGAGCCTCCGCCTCCGCCTCCGCGGGTGCTGCCAAGCAGAGATCGGATTATATTTGAATGGAATAGAAAAAGTTTTACATATTTAATCTCAAATTTAATGATGTATGTTATTAATAAAATATAGCAATATTTACAACATTTCTTTAAAATATTCATCAATAGGTGAAGTCTTACATTGGAGTCGTACATCATCGTCATCATTGTACATCAGGCGCACGGAGATGTAAATACTGTTTAAATTCCAATGTATTTATTAAAATACTTTGAATGATCATATTATGTTTTGAAATTAGACTACATTTTATGGAACTAAATTAGTACTTACTAATTGGAAGCTCGTTGACATAAATACTTTATAAAATGTTTCTACTTGTGTTTTACATTTTAACGCTTCGTGCGTACTTCGTGCTATTTATAGTTATTGCATATAATCCGATCTCTAAATTACAAAATATAGAGCATAAGCTGCCTTAACATCGGAGTCAGCGCTTTAGATCCGTCCTAATAACTAACTAAATTAAGTACATAAAACTGTGTAGACTTTACACTTCGCGTTGTCGGCTAAGTGCGATGAGTCGCCAGGTCCTACCTACGGTCCGTTTATATTATATATATGTAAATTGTACACACATACGTTTGACAAAAACTTTAAATTGTCTAAACATGTTTAGATATCTATCTCGCGTTGAATGGTTACTTGTATGAAGCTTTCCTGGCTTTACAGAGAAGTGCGTGTGCATCTTGAGGCGAAGCTGATGTTGTCTTTTGGCAACTTATCACATTTAGCCGCTAAGATAAAACAAAAATACAACAAGGAGAGCAACAAGGGCTCGCGACTCGCGTCATCTGACGCCACCTACGTATATACAGTCCGCCTGGTCAACTTCAATGTACATTTATACAAAACTATAGTTAATAATACAACACTAGATTTAGGAGAAATAATAAACAATGTTAAGTACAAAAAGCGATCAGTTTCCAAATGCAGTACCTGTGCGTGGGGCACGTGGGGCGCGTGGGGCACGCGGGCGCATAGGTCGCGTGTGGCGCGTCACATGCCCGACTCGGCGATGCCCTCGTCATCTGCAACACACGGGTGAGCGCGGACTGAGCGGGCGGCCTGGGGGCGGCTCGCGGTGGCGCGCCTCTCTCAGTACGTTATTACGGCAATAAGTAATGACAGCGACGCGATTAATACTTTTACTTATTTTCACGCGTTTTGTTTTTAGTTTGAGTGAAGGAAATATATATGTGTATGCAGGAGCTTAGTTAGTTCATTCTATGTACTTGTATGTAATGAATATTCGAGCCTTTGCATGAGATGTATCTAGTAAAGAAACACAGTATGGAGAAGAGACGGTTTGAGGTGAAAAGGGTTTCCAATGGCACAAGTCATGCTAGCTCACGTCCGCCCGCCGCCCCCGCCGCCCGCCCGTCGCTAGCCGCCACCTGCCGCACCAACCACAGGAGGGGCTATAACTCAAATATATTATGGACGTCCAGTGCGGAGGCGAGGGGTACATGTACGATATAATATGTAGATCGTTTTCTAAAAGTTAAATTTTTGTAAATAACTCTAACGGCTAGTATAATAAAGGGTTTTTAATTTTTCAAAATAGCTCGTTCGATCTCCGGTTGAATCTTTCTTTAATTATATATAATTAGTGACTAGTCAGTAATTCTTATAAAAATGGCGTCAGCATAATGTGCGGTATGGGTATAGTGTACCTTCGAAGGCGGCGTTGTGGTGGTGGTTGTTGGGCGGCGGCGGCGCCAGGTCGGCGCCCTCGAGCGCGGCCACCACGCACTGGTGGATGCAGATGTACTGCTGCTCGGTCTGCACCATCCACACGCGCTCGCGCCGCATGGCGTGCACCATGCCGAAGATGTCGAGCGTGTCGGCGTGCGCGGCCAGCTGCTGCAGCGCGCGGTCCAGCGTGATGAAGGTGCCGGAGCGGCCCACGCCGGCGCTGCAGTGCACCACCACGGGCCGCGCGTCCGCCGGGCAGCGCTCGCGGAAGGCGCGCACGAAGCGCGCCAGCGCCGTGGGCGGCTCGGGCACGCCGAAGTCGGGCCACGTGGTGAAGTGGAAGTGCTTCACCACGCGCTGCTCGGCACCGCGGCACACGGCCAGCTCCGTGATGGTCCAGTCCGGGTAGCGGCTCTCGTTGAGCGCGGTGACGGCGATGTCGCCGTAGTACACGGGCCGCGTGTCGTAGGGCCAGTAGCGGTCGCACTTCTCGCGGCCCTTCTCCACGCAGCGCGTCAGCATGACGATGGCGCGCGAGCCGGACTCCCAGCACATGCGCCAGAAGTCGTCGCGCGTGGAGTGCAGCGGGCCCTGCGTCACGATGAACTCGCGCGGCGAGTTGTGCCCCGGCACGTAGTTGGCGTTGATGTAGTCCGAGCCCTCCTCGTCGTCGACGGGCTGCAGCTTGTAGCGCGAGTGGTCGTAGGGCAGGATGTTGGTGAAGCGGTTCTTGGGCCGGTTGCAGGGCAGGTCGGCGGCGGTGGTGGGCTGCTCGCGCCCCACGTGCTTCAGCTCCTCGAACTCCTCGCTGAACCTGTAACCGCAAGCGGGCGGCGTCAGCGGGGGCGGTGCGGGGAGCGGGGCGGGGAGGCGGGAGGCGGGGCGGCGGTACCTGAAGTCGGAGTCGGCGGACATGAGGCGGTAGTGGTCGAGGAAGTCGGCGACGCGCACGGGGCGCGAGGCGGGCAGCGGCGCGGGCGGTGCGGCGGCGGCGGCGCGACGTCGGCGGCGCAGCAGCAGAGCGCCCGCCGCCAGCGCGGCCGCCAGCGCGCCGCCCACCGCGCCGCCCGCGATCCAGCCCGTGTGGTCCGCCTCTGCAACACGCATCACTCACACTCAGAACAGTATTTCTTCAATGGAATTCTTAATAACGTATTCATAAAAAAAAACAATGATAATGAAAAACCGAAATTATTCATTTAACCTTCGTGCTGTGCCTAGAAATTATATATTACTCTTTTAAATAATCCACAATATGAGTACTATGTAATATACAATTATAATAGAGACAAAAGATTACAAACCCATATACGAGTATGATAACGTTCGAATCAAACACTTGAGCGCCGATAGCGGCAGGTGTCGAGCACACATGCACAGTTTTAGTCCTCAGTTAAAGCGAGTTGTTACCTCAGTTGCTTAATCCCCATACAACTGATAACACATAACCTACTTATAATTTAAATACTACATTTAATTTTAAGTAACATTTAATACATTTTATATTTGGGTGTTTCTCTATAACCTTCGTAGTACCCAAAGGCAACTTTCGTAACAAAATAGTTTCGATCACTTTTTAACCGACTTCCAAAAAGGAGGAGGTCCGCAATTCGTCGCATTCTTTTTTTTATATATGTATGGTCATCGATTACTCGAAGAAGCCTGAACCGATTTGGACTTTTTTTGTTTCGAAGGGTACACTTCCCAGGTGGTCCCATTTAATTTTTTTTGAAATCCGTCGAGCGATTTTTAAAAAAATCAAGTTTTTTTTAAATAAATTGCTTAATCGAATATGTTATTATAAAACTTTATTCTTACTAATTACCCGCTTATTACGTCTACACTAGAAATGGAAAAATTAAAACTAGTTTAGTTATTTTTTACATTTTAGTGCCTGGAAGTCGGTTTTTTTAAGTTTTTATTTTGATTGTATTTTGAAAAAAGTTATAAAGTAAATAATTAATATCTAAATAGTTAGCAATAAAAACCAGAATAACCAAAAATATTTCCACTATTATAGAAAATAGAGCTTTTTCTAAAAAGGATGATTTACGTTGGGGATAATTTTTCCCATATAAGAGAGTTTTACATTCCTTTAAACTCTTGACATTATTTGTTGCAGCATTTTTTTCACTTTTTTTGCTTCTCAGTGTCCTCTTGGCATTATATTACTAACAAATATGTGGTTTCATTTTTCGTCGTAAAATGTCTTTCTTCAAGAGATTTTATTTCTTAGTGCCACATTAAAAAGATATACATATGCCTTAAATACCAAAAAAACATATTTATATAGTCCCCTTGAGGCTGAAATAGTCCCCTATCTAGGTGTGCCACAGGGGACAGACACAGGGTTTTAATTTGACTTTATAAGAAAGTATCACGTAATATAATTAAGTTTTGTTATTTTGTTATACATAACGTGAATGTGTCCAATATAACAAAACAAAAGCTCATAAATGTAAAAACAATAATTAAATATAAATAATTTGCCCCAGAGGACTGTTCGATATAAGTTAACCATATGACTTTTTCGGAGCGACGGTCTTGTAGCATTAATCAAACTGGCGATCGGGTGCTACTGGTATCAATGCGTATTTCACTTATTAACGTGGATGGTTAAGCCACTGAGCACTTGCCGTGTAATTCGACATATGGACAGGTGGAGTGTTTTAAAAATGCTGAGACCGAATTCAATTTAACTTTAATTTCAATTTAACTTTTAACTTTAAGTTTTTATAAGCATGTAATAAAAACGTGGAACAGGTCTAACTAAAACATTGAACATTTTACAAATAAACATATAATTTATTAACATTTATTTCGTATTAATTAATCGACCTTAAAGTAAAAATTCCGCATTTGTGACATATCAGGGGACTGGTTTTTAAGCACTTTATGTAAACCTTTTGAATATAATAAGATTAATTTATACGGATATTGTGCGCTGGGCAGAGATAGTTTAGGGAACCCTCTTTTATTAGTAATTACGAAGTATATAATATTATGATAGTCGTATGTGATATCTGACAGCGAGTTGCACAGTTTACAGAGAAACACCCATTTGCTAATTTTATTATTAGTACAAATAAATATTAAACATATAACCTAATCGATAACGATAATTATCACCGTATACTTAAATAGAAAGTGTGATACTTCGCGATATCTAACATCGTCCTCGGGGCCGACCCTCGAGCCGCGCGATGTCCCGTCGGCGAGCGCGGCGTGCGGGCCGCGCGCTACTGGCGGCGGGCCGTTAGTGTAATCGCTTTATCTTTGTGTGATTATTATCGCACGTTCTAGTAACTCGCAGTGTAATCAAGAGCCACCATCGGCGCACTATATAAATATCTATCGCGATACGATGGTAATGTGATATACATAATACATATATTCGTAGTAGAGAGTGAGACTATACTCGTAATACACTGACCGGTGTAGACGACGGTGTAGGCGGTGTCGGTGAACTTGTCGGGCGCGGTGAAGGCGCGCAGCTTGACGTAATAGCGCGAGCCCGGCTTGAGCGGGCCGTTGCAGTAGCTGCGGCCGCCGCCCTCGCAGCGCTCCGAGCCGATGGTGAACTCCTCGACGGCGGACGAGTGGAAGGGGTAGTAGGGCTCCGTGACCTGGTAGGGCGGCCACACGGGCAGGCGGTGCACGTCGCGCCACGAGGGCAGGCGCGCGGGCGTGTCGGCGCGCGGCTCCTCGCCCAGCACCAGCGTGTAGGCCGTCACGTTGCCGTTGGCGGGCGAGAAGTAGTCGGCGCGGAAACGCACGGCCACGGTGGAGGAGGAGCGCCGAACCTCGGCCGGCTGCGCCGTGGGGCGCGGCGGCGCGGCGATGGCCATGCGCTGCGTGAGGCGCGCCGCCTCACCGCGCCCGGCGCCGTTCTCCGCGCGCAGCCGGAACTCGTACTCGCCGCCCGCCGCCAGCCCGCCCACGCGGCCCGCGCGCGCCGTGCCCTCGAACACGGCCACGCGCGCTCCGCCCCAGCCGCCGCCGCCGCCCACGGGCGCGTACTCGATGGTGAAGCGCGTGAGCTCGCCGTGCGCGTCGCGCGGCTCCAGGCGCCACTCGAAGGCGAGCTCGGTGGGCGTGGCGTCGCTCAGCTGGAAGCGCGAGGGCGCGGCGGGCGGCGCCTGCAGCGTGCGGAATATGCCCGAGCGCGCGCGCGACCGCGTCAGGATGGTGGCCGGCGTGCCCGACCGCACCTACACACCGTCGATATTGACATTCGGTTAATATCGATTATTGGTATATTATGAAATACAAATGAAAATACTAAAGAAGTTACAATGTGTTCAATAGCACAATACGGCGTGCACGATACTGACCACGACGGTGAAGGTGTAGGAGGTGTAGGGGCGCAGGCCGGACAGCACGAGGCGCGGGCGGGCGGTGGCGCGCGTCTCCAGGCGTTCGGCGTCGTCCAGGTACTGCACCTCGAAATCGGTGTAGTCGCCGGCGGGCGGCGCCCACGCCAGCGCGATCTCGCGCGCCGCCACCGACGTGGCGTTCAGCTGCGTGATGGGTCGCGGGTCTGCACGGGCGCAACACAGGGTTAGCGGGTTAGTGGCGCGTGCGGGAGTGGGGGGAGCGGGAGGAGCGGAGGCGGACACTCACAGAGGCGCGTGGGGCGCTGCACGGGGTGCGAGCTGACGTTGCGCGAGACAGTCCACATGGTGACGTTGTAGAGGCGGCCGGGCGTGAGCGCGCGGAAGGCGACCTGCTGCTGGCCGGGCGCGGGCGCGGGCGCAGGCGCGGCGGCGCGCTCCTGCCAGCGCGGCTGCTCGCCGCCGCCCTCCAGCCGGAAGCGGTACGAGTCAAACTTCGTGGCAGACTCGGGCGTGCGCGTGTAGACCACCTGGTGGTACAGTCAGAAGGTCAGGTTACAAGTGTACACTATACGCGAGACGAGACGTGATATTTTTTGTTAGCTTTTCAGACTAGAGGTATACGATACAACGCGTCTAATATAATAACTGTGAAAGCAATCTCTCCATCGTGGCCCTGAGCACTGTAGTCATTTAGAGAGTTTCAAATAAATTATGGTTTTGGGAAGTACACAACTTCTGCTGACGCAGCATTATTGCGCCCCAGAATTCTTCTTAAATTAACTAATCTATAATATATGACTAAACGTCAAAAATGATAAGTTAATAAAATCCATACATACCAAGATAGCGGGCAGCGTGTCGTTGTCGTCGTTGTCGCCAGACTCATTGACGATCGTCATTTCCGATTGAATCAACGGTCCTGTCGATGGACATGTTTTATACATAATTGTAAGTTTTAATGTTTTAGTCAACTTACCATTGTGATACCATCATAACCATAACTAATTAATTAGTGTTGAAAGGAAAAAAATTGAGAAGACACTTGTCGTTGAGAATTGTCGCAGTGTGCTATTAAAATTCTTCAAAAAGGGTTGAATATTGCTCCGAAACGCATTCCTTATGAACAGGTGATCAGATGTGTAGAGGAGGTGATAAGGCGAAACATGATACCAGCGAGTGATGCTGAAGTACTCGGGCAGGATACCGCTATAGCACTATGTGATCTTCGTGAAGATTAAGAAGTAAATTATTGTGCTAGATAATGCAACTGTAGTCATTAATGTAGCTCAATATGATAAAAAAATCACCATTTATTAAGTGATTCTCATCGCAGTATACAACCCGACGTCACGAATGAGTCGCAGTACATTAACATTAATTAAAGAAAAATGCAATTCCAGATGATACTTTCAAGTATTTACTCCGTTCAAAATACATACAACCTCTTTAACTATATGGCTTACCAAAAGTGCATAATGTATGTAGTTGTTAGATATATAGTTAGTAAAATAGATGCAGCCACCTACGACCTGGCAAAACATATTGCTGACATATGCCTCGGTAAATATATATAAAATAAAGACAACACAACTTAGGCAAGAACAAAATTATTACAAACAGCAAAAGAACAGGGTGGATGACAACCGGCATTTTTTCCGTATGTTAGCATGGGCAGACAAAACGAACTGTAGCAAGTAGAATCACAGAACACATCAGGGCAATTTAAAACGACGCAAAGAAGTCAGCAATAGCTCAACATATTTTAGAAGCTGGACCTAACAACTGGATTCAGTTACATAGCCCCCGGCTACTCTTGGTAGAACGTCAATGTAGATATACTATTAGTTCGCGTAAAAAGTAATGTAACAAAGTATACATTTAGATTATTGCAATAAAAGATGTTTGAGATCTATTGAAAAGCACTTTGTGTTGAATGAATGAAGTGATTAAGAAATATATTCAATGAAATCTTTCTACATCGGAAAGTTCTAGAAAGTTGCATATGGTGATAAAAATTAATGTTGTGAAAATGTAAATACATATTATGTCTACATATAGGTAGTGAGAGTAAAACGTGTACGTACGCGTGCGGGTGTGCATGGTGAAGAGCTCGCTGGACAGGTTGTAGGAGTGCGCCGCGATGCTGACGCCGTAGCCGCGGCCCGGCGCCAGCGCGTCCAGCAGCGCGCGCCCGCCCTGCGCCTCCACCGCGCTCACGTTGCGCGCGCCGCCCTCCCCGCCCTCCGCGCCCTCTCCGCCCGCCTCCTCCTCGCTCGCCCACCAGCGCACCGCGTACCACTCCACGCGGCCGGCGGGGCGCGGCCACTCCAGCGTCACGTTGCGCGTGTCGGCCAGCTGCGCCACGTTGGACACGGGGTTGGGACCTGCGCACACACACATACACTCAGGCGCGCTCGCGGGCACGCCGCACTACTGCACAGCGGGGCGACACTCACGGACGGTGTGCTCGGCGGAGAGCGGCTGCCCGCTGTCCACGGTCTCGCCGGCCGCGTCCTCGCTGGCCGTGTCCAGCTGGATGGTGTAGCGCTCGCCGTGCGTCATGTTGCTGATCTGCGCGCACACAGACGGATTATGGGGTTTGATACTACAGAAACTCGTTTACTAAATAATATACTTGTATGTTGTAAAACGGGATATTCGCTGTTTGTCTAGTAATATTTCAGCACTATTGAAGATAACTTAATCACAAACCCTCTCTCTGACTATGGCCATGGAAACAGGCTTGCAAGAACATTTTTAAATAGCATCATGAATATCCCGTTTCACAAGACATAGTGGGCACTGGGCGGCTCATGCCTCGGCCTGGTCGGCGGTGGGCGGCAGCGGGTCGAGGCGGCGCCAGGGCGCGCGCGGCGTGCGGTAGCGCAGCGAGTACGCGCCCACCACGCCGGCGCGCGCGTCGGGCCCGCGCCAGCGCACGGCGGCCGCGTTGCTGCTGGCGCGCTCCACGCCCAGCCACTGCGCCGGCAGCGGCCGCACCGGCTTCAGCACCGTGTGCCGCTCGCTCAGCAGCCCGTTGCTGATAGCCGCCAGCTGGATCTCGTACACCGCGCCCGGGACCAGGTCCTCCAGCGTCGCGTTCGTCTCCGTCGTCACCAGCTGCAACAGGCACGCGGGGGGTTAGTGCGGGGCGGGCGGGTATGTCGGGCGGGCGGTGGCGGGCGGGCACCGACCGTGCGGTAGGGCTCGTCGTCGCGGCGGCGGCGGTAGCGCAGCTCGTAGCGGTCCTGGCGCGAGTTGACGTCGGAGCTCCAGGCGAGGCGCAGCGCGCGCTGCGCGGCGGCGGCGGCGCGCAGCGCGGGCGCCAGCGGCCGCGTGGCCGCCTGGAACACGCTCTCGTTGGACTCCACGCCGCGCGACACCGCCGACACCTGCCGACACGCACGGACAATATGGAACACGCTCTATATACACAAACTAAACTACATCAGCTATGGAATTACTTACATCTAATTCTATACACATATATTACATGTAACTATCATGCAAATATTTCAAACGTGAAAGTTGAAGCGAATAGATGTTAACATAAGCGAATTTATAAATTACCGCTTCACGCTATAAAAACTCAACTGATTTGAGACAAATTCAGAATGTAGATTTTTTTAAATGAGGACTTAATACTTATTTACCTACACAATCTAAAGTACTACACGAGAAAAGTCACTGCCAAGAGTTATAACAAGAAATTAGGTAAAATACAAATGTAATACAGAGTAAATATTATTTTGAAAAATAAAACTGTTTAACAAAAAATAAAAACCGACTTCCAGGCACTAAAATGTAAAAAATAACTAAACGGAGGTTTTAAACCTCCATTTAGGTATTTTTAACATTTTAATGCGTGGAAGTCGGTTTTTATTTTTTGTTCAAAAGTTTTTATTTTTCCATTTTTAGTTTAGACATAATAAGCAGGTAATTTGTAAGAAGAAATTTTTTTAATAACATATTCGATTAAACAATTTATTTAAAAAAAAAATATTGTTGATTTTTTTTAAAACCGCTCGACGGATTTCGATAAAATTTATATGGGACCACCTGGGAAGTATACCCTTTGAAACAAAAAAAAAATCGAAATCGGTTCAGGCGTCTTCGAGTAATCGGGGAACATACATAAAAAAAAATCCGACGAATTGAGTACCTCCTCCTTTTTGGAATTGGAAGTTGGTTAAAAATTAAATATGATTGAACAAAAATCTTCAACTACAATTGTTGTGGTGATGTGTCGGTGTGACAGTGTGGTGGTGGTGATGGTGGTGGTGTTACCGTGAAGGTGTAGTTGCGGCCGGGCAGCAGCGCCTCGAGCGTGGCGTTGGTGGCGGCCGTGCTCAGCGAGTTGCTGTCGTCGCGCGACGGCCCCGTCTCGTGGTACGACACCTGCGACACACACACGTTAGAATATGGCATTTCGGTGCATTCGCTCACTTAGTGTTGATTTATTTATATATCGATTTCTCCTAATTTCTTAGAAAAAGTTATTAATAATAGTAACAAAGTGTCGGCGAGCTTGGCCGTATTTGCCTTGTACTCGTCCTGCGTGGAGCCGTCGGCGGGGCGCCACCACAGGAACACGCCGCCGCCCTCGCCCGTCTCCACGTAGCGGCCCTGCAGCTCGCGCACCGGCAGCGGCTCTGCGGACACGTACACACTACACTGTCAGGCGACACTCACACTCACACTTACTGACTCACACTCACACTTACTGACTCACACTTGTGTCGTATTATATTCATAGCTACGCTGTTTCAATGTTATTTAAAAATAAAAAAATGTAATTAAATGTATTTGATTAACGTCCTATTGAATAGCCGAGTACTATATACACTATTTGACAAAATTATTTTCATCTGTATTTTGCTGTTTACCACTGATCTTGTTGGAGTAAAACTTGGAGACCGAGACAGTCCGACTAAGGCACTATTATATAATTACAAAAACTAATAAGTCATATCTTTTTCTAGCGATCGACACAAATATCCTATACAAAAACCATGATGTGGTGGTGATGGAGGTGTACAAAGTATAGGAATAGATCGGTGGGAGACACGCACTGAGGGTGAGCTCCGCGGCGGCGGGCCAGGAGGTGACCTTGCCGGACATGGTCTTGACGGTGACGGTGTAGTGCGCGCCCGGCTCCAGCCCGTCGAAGGCGCAGGCCGGCGCCTCGTCGCGCGCGCGCAGCACCGGCGGCAGGCGCCGCGCGCCGCCGCCCGCACCGCCGCCCCCGCCCACGGATATCTGGTACTTCTCGAACTCGCTGCGGTGAACGGACAAATATTAATCAACCATATGCATAATAATCATTATCAAATAACTTTTTTGTTGATTACTTTTTTATTGAAAGATTATAAAAATTGTTCTTTAATACAATTTAAGAAAAGAAATCGAGCCTCGTCCTAATAATAATAATAAATAAAATGATTTTCAAAAGAGGGATAACTTTTTCGTCCAAAAGTAATAAAATAGATCGAGAGCGACCTCTGGTCGGCGGGCGGCAGCCAGGTAACGCGGAAGGCGGTCTCGGCGAGCGCGCGCGCGTCCACGCTGACGTTGCGCGGGCGCAGCGGCACGGTGCGGTACTGCGCCGTGGTGGGCGCCGACAGCTGCGCGTCCGACACCGTCTGCACGGAGATGTCGTAGGCGCGGCCCGGCACCAGCCCCTTGAAGGCGGCCTGCGCCGGCCCCGGCGGCTCGCCCTCCTTCTCCACGTACAGCTCCGACTCGCGCGCGTCCTTCGGGTCGATCGACACCTGCCGCGAGCACACCCACCTCGTCACACATTATTCTTGGTGAAAAACAGTAGGTACCACCGGTTCTGAGACAAACTGCCGAAATAAACTCAGCGGGTATTATGTTCCTTTTTTTACTTGATTTTTATTAAATAAAAAAATTACAAATTTTAATATCATAACATTGAAAAGGTGTGATATTATATAGTAGAAAACCATTTATGGTATAAAATCAACTTTAAGCTTTTTGAACGTTTACGGAAATCCTTTATAAAAACGTACCTCCCTGGTCCTGTATGACCGAGACATACAAACTGCAATATTATGTCACACCATATATCACGGATAATAATATAACGAGTGACTCACCCTGTAGTGCGTGTAGGCGCCGGGCGGGTAGGGCGGCTGCCACAGCACGAGCAGCGTGGTCTCATTGCGGAACCAAACTATGAACTTTCCGGGCGTATTCGGCTCTGTAAGGTTTGTGCAGATATACTTATAACGACTCCAATAAATACTATGTATTTTGTGACAATAAGCAACTAAAATAATCAAAAATAAAGTGACAAATTAAAGCCGATGCGATTGATTCATTTTTAACTTATTAAAACTTTTAAATGCAATAATTTATAAAAAAAATAAAGGACAATACTATAAAACACAAAGTGGCGAAAACGATAAACAGATGCTGTTTGATACGCGTTACAAATTACAATACATGTACTAATCCAATTATTTGCGACAAATGCGAAATGCGAAAACAAAGAAATACCATAACATTAAGCGAAAAATAATATCTATACAGTTGAAGTTTCTACTTGTGACATAAATTCGTCTAAAATTGAACCATAATTACTTTAAGTTGACAGTTGCAGCTTGCAATGCTCACAAAGTGACATAAAACATAATAAGATCAGATAAGACAAACGCAGAGGATGAAAACGATGCTATGAGATAAAATAAGCACTCGATTATAAAGATTGTCATTAGCGATATGACGAACGATTAGAGCGACTGAAAACGTTTCATTTAAAGTCAAAATCACAAAATAATTTATTTTGTATTGTTGCTCATTTGATACATAAATCGTCGTTTTATGTGTTTTCCTAATGGAGAGTAGTTGGTAGTAGTTCGTAGTTTCGACTTGGCAGTAGGTTTATATTTATTATTAAAATTAAAAATTATTAATAATACTTATCAAGAAATTACTAAACACAATCATAACACACTCTGAATCGCCAATATAATAAACAAAAATTAAAAAAAACTTAGAAGTTATACATACCTACGAGTAGCTGCTATCTACACTGAATTCCTACCTCCCACAATAATTTGGAAAATGTTAATAATTTTCAATCACGAGACCAATTTAAAGATTAATTGTATTTTCGAAGTAGGTTTTTTAATATAACATTTTTACAACAATTGGTACCAGAATTTTCACTTTATTTTTTCGTAATCACCTATACAGATATAAATAATTTTGAAGTGTCTGTTTGTAATGTCAAAATAACAGCTTTTTACTCAATTTCTATGAAATTGTGCCCAACTGGCAATAATGGAAGTCACGAAATAAAAGTATTGAATTAAATTGGAATTATATACAATCCTTTTTTTAATTTTGACTGTATGTCTGTTTGTTCCAGCTAATCTCCGAAACAGTTGGACTGATTTTGAGGGGACTTTCATTGGCAGATAGATGATGTTAGAAGGAGTAACTTAGACTACTTTTATTTTAGAATAAGAATTAGGGACGCACGCGAACGAAGCGATGGTAAGTCGCTAGTTAAATCCTAAAAAGTAAGAAGTTGAATAAATAATATACCGATGACAAGTCGAAAACGAGTTCATAATTGTTGTAAAGACCATCTTTTAAATTATTATATATGTTGTAGGCAGATTGCTCGTTTGTCAAATATACTAACAAAATGGTCAGTGATGATTACTACAGCTATGGAATATAGGTATATTAGAATGTTAACACGTTAATAGACTTAATAGTACTTGCGTCAGAAATAGCACGAATAGCTGAATATAATGCGTAACAGAGTCGATAATTTATTGGTAGTAAAATTACGATGTCTTTCTCTTGAAAGAACGCGATTTTCGAATGGAGGTCATCTAATGCTAGTGATTTGTAACAAACAGGTGACTCAGGTGAGTCAGCGCGCGGCGGCGGAACTCGTGCCTACATAACAAAATATTGGGAAAGAAATCGATTTGTACAAAGTACTTGCATTTATTACGTATCCTCGACGCAGCGACAGATTTATATTTACATTTAATTCGATAATCGAGAGATGGCAGCTAACTATGAATCCGAATAATCTATCTGTGGTTCTCCATACTAGAGATAGGAATTTCACATAATTTGTATGGAGCTTATGAGTTATGTCAAATAACTATCTATGTTAGGGAAACTACACATGATAGAATATAATCAGCATCCGCCGTGAGCATAGCATAAATTGTGACATTTAATCGTATAAGTTCAGAATATTTTATTATTGCCTACAAAACACACGGAAACGTTTATGAATCACGATATCAATTTTGTTATCTGACGCCTCTTCAATACTGGTTCCGTTTAAAATAACAAAAATAACATAAGTTGTTATCATATTTATAAAAATATGTAAATGTACATATGTGCTGTATAGAAGAGTATCAAATACCGACTGTATGTATATTCTACAGATTCCGTCATCACGACATTACATAATATTCTACTTTTAGTAAAAACTTAAAACACCATTTTCCTTTTAAGCGATGTTTATAAGATATTGAAATTATATTTCCTAATCATTAATACTGATTAAAAGTACCTACTAATACGAATTTTAATAATAATAATGAATGCAAGCTTACACATTAATTCATGTTATCTCCACCGGTATGAGATAGTCCACATGGCTAATACCATACAAATATTTCTCCCGAACAGGACTCTAACCTCGTATCGAAATCGAACCACTTCGTCTCGTGTCTCCCACGTCCGTCGTGTTTACTACTATTTATTATAATATGTAGGTAAGATACAATGATAATCATACTTAAAAGAATAAAAACTAATAACAGTAACATCTAAGGTAAAATAAATAAAAAAGCCGTGTCCTTATGGTTAATGTAAAAATCATAAACATGTATAATGTACATGTATTATATATTATGTAGGTGTTTGCAACAAATAAAATGTAAGCGATTGCAAAAGACAAAATGGCAAAATGCGCAAGGAGGCGAAATTAACCCAACAAAATGAATAACGAACATCGAACAAAAGTGGCCATATAAATGCTTCGCATGCCACAAGCTCGACCGCCTTCCAATAGACCTTCGCAACACTACCAGCCTACCAGCTATTTAGGATACATTCAAACTAAGCTTATTCAATCTCAAAAGATGCTTCAAAGCAATAGTCTACTATTTGCAAATTGTGTTCTCTGGACCCGATAAATGTTCATGTAATTGTTTAATGTTTCATAACAATATATATCTAAATCGAAGGCGGTCACACTTGCGGCGTTCACAACAGTACAGTAAGCGTTCGAGAAGCGTAACACGTAAACGTAAGTAGAGTTAGTACCCGAGCAGTCGCCGGCGGCCGCCCTCCCCGCCCTCCCCGCCGCGATACATGTCCACTGCCCACCTCTGTACACTAATCTGTCATTATGGACAATAGTTATTCAAATGTTTATGTATACATACACACATCTATACATATAATTTAGCCGTTTAAACATCCATCTGCTTAGCACAAACCTCTCCTCAAAGCGAGCGAAAATAGGGCTCGTTTGACAAACGAGGGTGGATTTATTACACGTCTCTCAAAAAGTGGTTAGATTCTATCAGATATGTAGAATACCTCGGGTTATATTTGTTATCTTTATAGCATAAGCAAATGATCTTGACGAAAACAAATTCCACATACGAATAATTATTAAAGATTTAGTTTGACGAGACCTGGGATTTGAACTCGTTCACTTTATTTTCCAAGCGAGCGCGTTACCACTGCTCAGGCTCTGCACTGTTTTGTACATAAAGCAACAGCATCTTTAGGCTATGATGAGATCTGTGATAGTACCTATGCCTAATATTTAAATCATCGAGTTCTTGGTAAACTATAAATGTAGATTTAGACGAAAAAAGTATTTTAAAAAACAATAGCTACACTATCATAATATAGAGCGGTAATCATATTTACCGACACGAATCATACGATTCAACACACTATATATACATTGGTAAAATAGAACCGCCAGCTACTACAGTGGAGAGTGGGGCCATGGGTAACGAATGCGACAGGGCACGGTGCGTTGCAGAAACAATGTTGTTAGTGTAATTTGTATACACAAATAGTAGAAGGAAACATGTTTGGCGCGTATTGTTATTAGTTTTGCATAAAACTGATTCCGACACGGCTTTCATTTCAATGTCAGGTGGCGCGGCGACCTCCGCCGCCCGCCCGCGCCGTAACTCCTGAACGGTGCCGATTAAAGGTGCCAAATACTTAGATCATCTTATTTTAATATTGGTCTTATCCTCTCAAAACAAAACTGCACAAGCAGAATTTTCAGGCAAACGCAAAAAATTGGCTGTGAATCGAATTCATAATCTATGCATATAATAAAATTGTAACTAAGCCGAATCTGCACATTAGATATTTTTTGGCAAATCTTATTGAAATAAACATTATTATCGATACAAAGGCCGAATCTATAGTTTTTAGATTTTTTGTCTGTCGGTCATCTGTCTGTTACTGCATCACAGAAAAACCACTTTTTTGATGAAATTTGCTATGGACTTTTTTGATGAAATTTGCTAGGGTCAACATATACGATACTTTTTAACGCGGGAAAATATCTCATTTTTGAGAAAAGAATACAAAAACTGCAATGTATACTAATATGTAAAACCTAAGAATTTGATTTTTGGTCACCTGAACGCGGGCGGAGCCGCGGGCAATACTGGTTTTAAATAAAACTATCTTTTCGGGTTTTTCGCGGATTTATTTTTAGTTTTGTTTCCTTTTTTGGTACTAACACCTCAGTCTCTCCCGTGACCATGATTGCTGTAAAGCATTCGAAACGTCGGCATCCAAAAATCCAAATAAATCCGCGAAAAAAATCCGAAAAATAGTTTCATTTAAAACTAGGTTGATTTCGCATACAAACTTTCATCCGCATTTTCACCCCTTTATGGGATGAATTCCGGGCTAAAAACTATGCTATGCCCTTCCCAGAGTCTCAAACTATCTTCTTACCAAATTACATATATAAAATTATATATACTGTTTATAGTATTAGTATAGATGTCACATATATGCGTAAATCTAAGAATGTATTAATTCATAATAATATGTAATGGAAAAGTAGCAAGTAATTATTATTGGTTATAACCATTAACCTTCATAATGGTTGCAATAAAAAATGCATTGTCGGACGGAAAATTGTTCGATTGTTCCTTAACAGTTACACGATTTGTATGCGCGCGCGCCTCCTACGTGTAATGTCGCATATGATCATTTGGAAAGGTGGCGTTAGATCATCGATTTTAAACATTGTGATGATATTTGTTATTGTTCATTAAATTCCAGTTTTTAATTATTCCACACCATTAGTAAGAAAGCATTAGTGGTTAAATCCAGAATTTTACACACATGATTGAGCAAATAAATCATTTCCTAATAAAAAAAATATGTTTTTTTTTTTGGGCTTGAAGGTCTCGACATAGACGAGGAAAATACCTGATATAAAGTAACATTGAAGGCTAATGATTCAAACGGTTTTTGCGCGCTCAGTGCAGTGTGCGGCGACTGGCGCGTGTGGCGGCATTCCGTTTTACATAGTTATGCCCTACTTCGCAAAAAGAATGTCACTGTCATCATAAGCATGTCTCCACGCGTGCGACCGCGGGTGGCGCGGGGGGCGCGGGGTGCCCGTACAGGTGTGGAGGCGGACGTACATTGGTATGTTTGTTTGAATTTTATAAACAGTTTAGCATTATTAAATCAATTTCATGAGTTACCCGTTCGTCAGGAAGCCATTACCGGTTCCAAATAAGGTTCTGACAGCAAGAGCTGCGAGTTCGATTATTCTTTCAAAAGTACAATACATTATATGTCGTAGATATATATCAGGTACGATGTGTGTGTGTGTGTGTGTGTGTGTGTGTGTGTGCGCGACTCACTGGTGGTGAAGTTGAAGGAGGCGTAGGCGGCGCTCTCCTTGTCGTGCAGCAGCGTGAAGGCGTGCAGCTGGTAGGTGGCGCCGGGCGACAGGTCGCGCAGCACGTGCGTCCAGTTGCCGGCGCCCTCCACCGTGATGTTGCGCGCGCCGCCCTCCGCGCGCTCCGTCAGCGGGATCACCTGCGCCGCCGCGGACTCACATCATTCGTAGCCTACGTCTTACTTCGACTCCTAGTCCATTTGTGTACTTATCGAAATTCTTCCAGCCGATCCAGCGTGAAGCAGTGATAAACACAACGAACAAACATACAAACTTTCGCATTCACAATTGTAGTCCGATTTCATAAGTCTTATTTTCTTATAATATACCTTTTAAAAACAGTGTTATGTGAACATTTAACCTTTTAAAAGGTACATCCTGTTTCGCTTCTGTTATTACCTTGTGATCTTTATGGTACTGTTATTACCTTGTGATCTGTATGGTATTACATACATATAAATAAAAAAATAAAACAACTAAAAAGTATTAAACTAAGTAATTAAACCGGGCCATGTCGCGACCATACTTGATACTTTTAATCCTTAGATTACTAATATTATTCGTTTGTTTAATCATCTTTCACTCAGTAAGGGAGCAACACTCGCAAACGTGGCGGTTGTGTAAGTGGCGGACAGTGATAGTCCGGCGATCTCACGGGGCACTCTTTACATCGGTCCATTTCAATAGAGAAGGAGATCCGAGAATATATCAATATATACACTCACGAAGAATGTAAGGCAAAGGCAATTAATTATACACAAAACGTAGCTTGAAGTTTTCCAAGATTATGGTGAGATGCATTAAAAATCATCGCTTAGGTAAAATTACGCCACACCGACAAATAAAAATGTTATTTCTTAAATTGTTACCGTTTGTACAAAACAAACCACAACAGAAACGTCATCTGTGATTTGTTTATATTGTATATTCTTCTTGGTTGAATGAGCACAAGTACCTTGAAGCGAAATCCCGTATAGTCTCCATTTGCCGGCGGAGACCAGGATATGGCGGCTTGCTTGTTGCGACCGAGCGTCACCGTCAGGTTCGTGGGCGGCTCCGGCGCTAAAACCGTTTTACTTTAGGAAACTTACCAAAGATAGTAGGCACTAGTGCGCCCAGAGGTCAAAATTCGACTATAATCATTATTGTAAATTTTTGGAAAACATATATAAATAGAATTTATTTATATCTATAAAAATAGCTAGGTACTAAATATGAATTTTATAAAATCTGCAGACAAAAAGAGGAGAAAAATGTACTTTTGTCTTTGCCTATTTATATATAAGTGGGCAGTTTTAGATGTTGATATTCTACGTCTATACATATAATAAAACTCTAACTAAGCCGAATCTGTACATTAAATACCTATTTCTTGGAAAATCTTATTGAAATAAACATTATTATCGATACAGAGGCCGAATATAATGTTTTTAGAATTTTTGTCTGTCTGTTACCGCATCACAGAAAAATCACAGACATCACATCATCAAAATCACGGACAGATTTTGATGAAATTTGGTATGGTGATAGCTGGTTATCCGGGTCAACATATAGGATACTTTTTACCGCGGGAAAATATCTCATTTCTGAGAAAAAATACAATAACTGCAATGTAAGAGTATATTAATATGTAACAACTAAGAATTTGGTTTTTGGTCACCTGAACGCGGGCGGAGCCGCGGGCAATGCTAGTTTGATATATCACGTGATATTAAGATATTCTCGTAAATTAACTAGTGCTTGTAACACACGAAGGTGTTCCAATAATTGTTTTGTTAAGACAATTGTATTTGAAACTATCGGTTTTATAAACAAACTAGCGACTCTCCCTCGCTCCGCTCGGGTTCGTCCCTACTTACGTTACATTAAGTATAGAATTCTCAGAAATGAGATATTTTCCTGCAATAAAATGTATCCTTAATGTTGCCACGGATAACCAGCTACCATCATACCAAATTTCATCAAAATCCCTCCAGTGGTTTTTCCGTGATGCGGTAACAGACAGACAGACAGACAGACAGACAAAAATTCAGAAAACTATAGATTCGACCACTATATAGATAATAAAGTCTATTTCAACGAGATTTTTCAAAAAATATTCAATGTACAGTTTCGGCTTAGTTAAGATTTTATTATAGGTATAGATGTATAGAAATCATACATTTTATTTTTAAAATTAATGAAAATGTTCAACTACAAGAGGATATAAATTTAAGTGCTATTTAGTAATTACTGCTGTTAGTTTATCTAACAAACGCGAAAAGCAAAATAGAAAATATGCGAACCAGTTATAATCGTCTGGTTCCACGTGAGCAGGTCCGCGAACGTGGCATTGGAGTAGTAGAGCATGAAGTGGTATTTAGTTCCCGGGAGGCCTTGGAAGTTTATCGTAGAAGCTCGAGCGGGCACTGTGAAGTTAGGTGCGGGAGTACCCTCGGGCGGGCGGTAGTCAAGGCGGTAGTGGGCCCCCTCCGCGCCCTCCGCGCCCCACCCTGGTATCTCGATGACCAGGTCCGCCGCTCCGCATACTCGCACACCACATAATGCCTATACAGTTGTTAAAGTATTATATCTAAACAAATAAAATAATGCTATAGTTTGTATGTATGAACACATAGAACTCATAAATTACAAAATCGAATTTTAATTAGACTTTTTATTAATAATCAAACTGTTTAATAGTTTGTTTATTCATGAAAATTATAGGCTGTTAGTAAAGCCTACAATAATAGAGCCTGACTATATTTCTTTTGCTTCTCTTTTATATCAATTATTGGTCCATGTCCATTATGTACAATGTACATGTCAATGTAAACAATCTTTGGAAAGAAAATCTCTAAATGAAAGTGAATTCTGCAATAGAACCTAAGGTGTGCCCAATAGAAAAATGAAGCACACCATCTGAGAGATATTTAATATGTACATGAAAAATGTTTATATAATGAACTAGAGACCTTCACCTCTCACATTTAGAGTTACTTGTCAATATGTTAGCATACTCTTGTGTTTTATTTGAATATATCTAATAACATTTGAATATAAAACACACAAAAGTCCTTGTAAAATAAAAATAAAAATAATATATAGAAAAATATAAAATAAAAATAAAATAATTTATAATATTAACATATATATATTATGAATAATTAAACATTAAAAAATAAATAAGCTAAAAATATCATCCACCATTTCTTATTAGCTATAAAAACCATTTTAATTGAAGAATTTATTATGTAAGATATATGTGTACAATGTACAGGGGCAACATTGTAATATATAATACTTAAAAAAAAAACTTGAATTCAATTACTGACTGACAGTCAACCATTGAAACTTTATTGAGTTACTTATATGTGGTTATCATAGCACTGAGGAAGGATTTTGAGATTTTTTTTCCTAAAAATATTAAATATAAGTAAAGAATAAAATTGTAATTAATATAGTACATCAAGTTAATTGATTGCTAAATGCCTTATGAATATAAATAGTTATTCTTTATAAAAAAAAGCTCTAAGATATCAAAATAATTTATATGTACCAATTCCTTTTAGAGAAATAAATCTCTTTAATAAGAGAATTATTTTCAATAAGGTTTTATTAAATCCTAAATCTGAATATTATATAGAAACCGCAACCGCAAGAGGAGCGGTCGGTTTAGGCACCAGGTGGTGACAAGAGGCGGCAAAATGCCAAATGCAAATTTTGAGCAAGAAATTAAATTTTGATGAACTGGTATGTTTTGAAACCATTAACAAGAAAAAGAATTGAATTGAACTGAACATTCCTTTTCATATCATTAGAGCTATTTAATTCAATTTAAATTTAATAAATTGTTTTTGAAATTAAAGTAGATTTTTGGAAAAGTGGATATTAATATTTATCTTTTAAAGTAAAATACAATTTATGTGATGAGAAAGTATCAAGCAATGGGTGCTAAAAGACAATCTCACTCTACTCTGATTAGAGGCTAGGGCAGGAATTGTTTGGTGTTCCTATCATATCTTTACTTTTTTTTAAAACACGAAAGGGCATTTGATTAATGTAACAAGGTGTTAAACAATATTGGAGTACATTAAATTAACAAAATAAATATGGTATTTCATTACTTCATTAGTTCATACTTACATTAGTCTTTTCTTTTCACATTGAGTCAATATTTACGTTTTATACTTAATCACTCTTTTATGTAAATTTATAATGAAGAAACCAATGTAAGCTTGTAAAGTAATTTGGCACTAGCTACCCTAGTAATATTTATTCAGAAAATATTTGCAAAATTCCTGATTGTTTTGTGAATGTAAATGTATTATTAGTCAATTTATAAACAGGTTTATAAACAATGGCGACAGGTCAGATAGAAGTTACTTTTATAATTAATTGTTAGTTTAACAAAGAACAAATGATGTGGCTCACTATAAAGACAGCAAGTGCGAACGCTAGGGCAGCTGAGGTACGCGTGTGTCCAGCCTTCGCTTGCACAATCGACCTCTTCCACATCATTGAAGGCAACTCTCTGATTTCACATGACACTTTCTCTTCCAAACAAACACTTGTATCATCCTGCAGCAGCATGATTCGTTTACTATATCTCGTAAGATCGTCATATCAATGCGTTGTACAACATTTGCAATAAATTTTCCACACTAAACTACAATTACAAACTAACAATTGTTGTCATATGCCAGGCCAACGAGTTGACATTTCGACTTCTACTATTTACTTATCGTTCAGTTGTAACTTGTGGACGTAGAAAATACGAGAAACGGAGATTCTCATCACGTAATTCTACACCCGTAATATAAATGCCATTATTATAGTTGTACGATGTTAATTAGTGATACATTATTTTGTTGTCTCTTTTTAATAATAATGTATAATAATTTATATATCATTATTAAAAAGAGACAACAATGTATCACAAGATATAATACATATAACATAAATAAATTTAAATGGACATTATGTCAGTTATTCGTTATTTTTATATGTAAAATTAGAATGTAAATTTAAATTTGACCTGTTATGACATTTTTAGACGTAAAGTTTTCCTATTTTTTTTAATGTTGTAATTTTTTTAATCTGTGCTATTTATTACTGTCATAGTCAGCCTCATGGATGACAAACAAAAGTCAGCCTCAGTTAACTTGTCGATGTTATTCTACTTATTAGGGATGTTCATGTAAAAAAATCGATATTTTTTGCAATATAATATATCGTATTGTTGTATCGATACTTTGCGATATATCGTATAAATATATCGATATTTTCGATAATTCGTAAGTCGTAAGTTATTTGTTTGTATTTAACTAGTTTGATATCCCTATCTATTAGATAGGAATCAGGTTAATATGAGTAAAAACAGTTAGTGAAGAAACAAAACATTTTATTAATCCCAATACTTTTTCTCTAGACCTTACAAAAACAAAATTTTATTAACTCTTTTGACTTGCAGTCTGTTTCTCTGCCGAGTTAAAATAGCCGTTTTTATATGTGGTTATACACACTAACTGTATTTAAAGCTCGTTAACTGTATTTAACGAAACAGACAACTTTTATTTATATTTTATAGGTTATATTATATATATTTTGTAATTTGTAATGATAAGTGAGAACGATGAACGAAGCAGAAGTTGGAACTTGGATTTCGGATGCGAGTGAGACTCTCTAGGCACAGACACACTACGAGTTACGACTACAGTCACAGATTATAAAATTTTTACTACTACTAGTCTGCCTTCACGGAGAGTAGGAGAATAATTTTCAATTTTCGTGTCTTTGCGTTCCGATAATGCGAAGGCTAGTTTTTCAACAATTCGGGGTTTTACGTTTTATTTTTATTCAAGTTACCATCCATAAATAAAGGAATCAATATAAAAAAAGGCACGTGCTTTTAATCTCTCACGATATTTGATATATCGGATTAAATATATCGGTATGTAATATTATTATTATTAATGATGAACTAGATGATTCGATAATATCGTGTTGAAGCGATATATCTCGTACACATATCGATATTTTATGAAATATCGATATATATATCATGCATTCCTAGTGTCCTACCCTACTCCTTATTACCATAATCTGTAATCTGTGGTTGCTGGTTGTTGCATGTTTAAATACAAAAGCCGGCGGCTGTCAATATTAAAATTATAATAAATAACTTCTATTGAGTATTGAGAGCCAAAATAGGTTTTCTCATTAAGTGTATGTTATAGTTATGGCACCAAATGATATCGAATCTTGGTCAACAGAAGATACTATTAGAGTCTTGATAGCATCAGATATTCATTTAGGTTACCTTGAAAATGATGCAGTTCGCGGTGAAGACAGTTTTATCGCATTTGAAGAAGTCTTATCGTTAGCAGTTGAATATGACGTGGACATGGTTTTGCTTGGTGGAGACCTCTTCGATCACGCCAAACCTTCACCCAGTTGTATGTTTAAGTGTACACAGATAATTCGAAAATACTGTTTCGGTGAAAAACCTATTAGTATTGAAATTGTGTCTGATCAATTAAAGAATTTTTCTAGAGGCGTTAATTATGAGGATCCTAATTTAAATGTTTCGTATCCTATTGTTTCTATACATGGAAACCATGATGACCCAGTGGGCCAAGGCAGTGTTAGTTCCCTAGATATCTTGTCCATCACAGGTCTGGTTAACTATTTTGGTAAGTGGACAGATTACACACATGTACGCATTTCACCAATTCTAATACAAAAAGGTGAAACAAAGCTGTCTCTTTATGGTTTAAGTCACTTGAAAGATCAACGATTGGCACGGCTTTTTGCTGAAAAAAAAGTTGAGATGGATCTTGTTGAAGATGGCAATGATTGGTTTAACATTTTAGTATTGCATCAAAATAGAGCAGATAGAGGACCCAACAATTATATTTCGGAAAATGTATTACCCACCTTTTTAGACTTAGTCATATGGGGTCATGAGCATGACAGTCAAGTCTTTGCAACAAAAGATATTAAAAGAGAAAATGAAAGCTTCTTAGTAATTCAACCAGGAAGTACAGTAGCCACATCACTAGCATCAGGGGAAGCCTTACCTAAACATTGTGTGATGTTACAATTGCATAAAAAGGAATATATAATAACACCAATACCTTTAAAAACAGTTCGACCTTTTGTATTTAAGACTATTGTGCTATCTGAAGAAAATTTGGGCAATGAAGGTGTAAACGAAAATGAGAAAGTCCAGAATTTTTTAAAGGAAAAAGTTGAAGAGGCCATAAAGGAGGCTGAAAATCTGCACAGTGGTAATGTAAGACAACCTTTACTACCTCTCATTAGAATTAGTGTATTTTATGAACATGATGGTCAAGACTTCAATCGTATTCGATTTGGGCAAAACTTTAATGGCCAGGTTGCCAATCCAAATGATGTCTTAATAATGAAGCGGGAAAAGAAAATTCGTGATCGAAAACGGCGGGAATCTGGGGAAGGCGAAGATGTCGATATCGGCGAGGTGGCAGCCGAGGCGACAGATGTGGAGTCACTGCTGCGTTCCTACTACGAGTCACAGCCGCCGGACCGACGTCTCGCGGTGTTGTCGGTTCGCGCAGTCACCGAAGCGGTTAAAGATTTTACTTTGAAACGTGACGATGATATTTTCCGCCGCGTGTTAGACGCTCATCGGAGACGCTGCGTAGATTTTCTTTTAGAGTCAAATGCAGAAACACCAGAGGAAGTTGAAGAAAAAATGAAGGAATGTAAAGTCGCTCTCGATGCGGCGGACGAAGACGGACTGAAGAGTATGATCGCAGAGGCGACAAAAACGTTGCAGACGGCAAAACAGTCTGCGTCCTTAAAACAAGATTCGATCATATTGTCAAGCGACGAGGAGGCTCCGTTGGGACGTGGACGTGGGCGTGGGCGGGCGGCGCGCGCGCGTGGGCGGGCGCGCGGGGCGGGGCGGGGCCGCGCGTCGCCGCCCGCGCCGGCGCCGCCGCCCGAGCGCCGCACGCCGCGCCGCACCGCCGCGCAGAAGACTACTTCTTGGTTACAAAGCATCACGGCGGAGAAGTCGCGGAGGCGTAGAAACTCTTCAGACATCGAAGTGTCAGATTAGATATATAATTAAAAATTTACACTAATTAACATCATAATTTAGATACATGTTCGAAGTGTTAACGAATATATATTCTAATTTTATAATTTGTTTTTTTTTTATATTAGTATTACTTAAAATTGATTATAGTGTATGCATTATTGGCATTGTTTACACAATATCAATCAGTCATGGCTTATTATAACTAGAACCGACCGGACCGGTTTTTTCTCCATAGAATAAGCAAAATGTATGTCTGATTACATGAATAATTATTGATTACAGTTTTGGAATCCAAACTATGAATAATTTCAATGTTTCTTTAGAAAAAATCCTAGGGCTTTATTTTCAGCATTATGGTCAGTATCTGGTTGCAAGATAGCTACGTGGAATGTTGATCGAGTATTTAATGATTTTTTTATATACAATAATAAAAGGGGCAATGTGTTTTGGCCAGGTTGCCTTATAAAATGTACCCGCTAGTATTTTTAATTTTTATTTCATATCTATACATAAAATTGTAAATAAACCCAATCTGTAATGTAAAATCTTATTGAAATAAACATTATTATCCATACAGAGGCCGAATCTATAGTTTTTAGAATTTTTGTCTGTTTGTTACCGCATCACGGAAAAACCACTGGACGGATCTTGATGAAATTTGATATGATGATAGCTGATTATCCGGGTCAACATATAGTATACTTTTTATCGCGGGAAAATATCTTATTTCTGAGAAAAAATGCAAAAACTGCAATGTAAGAGTAGTCTAAATACTAATTCGTTAAACCTAAGAATTTGGTTTTTGGTCATCTGAACGCAGGCGTAGCCGCGGGAAATGCTAGTTTGATATATAAATCCATACATATAATAAAATTGTGACTAAGCCGAATCTGTACATTAAATATTTTTTAGAAAATCCTATTGAAATAAAAATTATTATTGATATAGAGGCCGAATCTATAGTTTTTAGAATTTTTGTCTGTCTGTCTGTTACCGCATCACGGAAAAACCACTGCAGGGATTTTGATAAAATTTGGTATGGTGATAGCTAGTTATCCGAGTCAACATATAGGATACTTTTTACCGCGGGAAATTATCTTATTTCTGAGAAAAATACAAAAACTGCAATGTAAAAGTATACTAATATGTAAAACCTAAGAATTTGGTTTTTGGTCATCTGAACGCGGGCAATGCTAGTAATGAATATACGTCGTGAACGTATAAATGTAACAAAATGTTACCTGCTTCCACCTAATTGCGAAGATGTTGCGGCCAAGTGCGCAACGGCATATCTCTTTTCAAGACCTCTACGTATATTTCTGTGGAGTATAATTTATTTGAATAAGAAATGAATCGATTTTATTCCTAAAGGTCGATTATTATTAATTTAATTAAAATATTAGCGAGTACATTTTAATAGGCAACCCGGGCAAAACATATAAATTGTCCCTTTTATATAAAAAAATAATATGTATATAAAAAGTGGTTTTGATTAAATACTCGATGAATGTAGCAATCTTGCAGGCGGATCTCGTACGATTAGTTTACTTAACAATTATCCTCGGTACGGTGTATACCTTTTAATATTTTATCTTCGCTACTAATGTTACTCGTAGAGGCCTCGGGAGGCCCGAGCCAACCAAACAAAATTTATTATCAGAATTACTTGAAACTTTGTATTAATGCTCTTCAATACAATTAAAGAAATACGTGTTTTAGCATAATTTTGAAATTCATCCCATATGGGGGTAAAATAGGGGATAAAAGTTTGTAGGAAACCTTCCTTTGTAGTTATTTTTTGGAGTTTTAGCGCAAGCGAAGCCGCGGGTTCTGCTAGTATTATATATGTAGATATGTATGAGTTGTATTAGATTTAATTGTTGTGGGTTGTATTATAACGCATTTTCCCGTGGGAGTGAGATGATCTCGCGTGGTAAAACAGCCTATGTCACTCTCCAGTCCTCTAGTTATCTCCACACAAAAAATCACGCAGTCTCTCTTTTACGACGTGAAAGAAGAACAAACAAACAAACACACTTTCACATTTATAATATTAGTGTGAAGACTAACAAAGTAGCTTTAAGTAATATATGACTCCAAGTACTCATTAATAGTCGTTGATCAAGAGTTCCACTATCCTTTTGGCTTCACCATCAGATCAGCTCGATGACACCAAATTACTGTACCATCATCGGAAAGCCAAACAAAGTTTCAAGTCAATATGACAATTAGATTTAAAAATAAGTAAAAAGACTATAATTAGATCAGTTTACATAAATTATGTACCTATGTAGATACTTAAAATATCATTGCTTTTTTTCTGATTTTCTCGAAAACAATATTGGTACTCTATGTCAAAGAAAATTTGATGGGACCACATTGGGATCTATCTTAATAGAAAACAAGTTCAAAATAGGTCCGTCCAGTCATCTCCGAGAAATCGGTGAACATACATAAAAACCTTTTTGGAAATTTGTAAAAAAAACACCACCGCATCGTGCCTACACACTAGTATGCTGCCGCATCCACACGCACACGCTGAAGTTTCGGTTTGCTTCATGGTAAGTTTGATAACTCGAAATTAATGTGGGATGATGATAAGATAAAAAGAGAATATTACTTATTTGATATTTATATTGACAAAAGGTTACAAGTTTTTAATTGTTACCTATCATCTATACATATAATAAAATTGTAACTAAGCCGAATCTGTAGAGAAAAAATACAAAAACTGCAATGTAAGAGTATACTAATATGTAAAACCTAAGAATTTAGTTTTTGGTCATTTGAACGCGGGCGGAGCCGCGGGCAATGTAATAAATGTAAATGTATAAAAGTAGTAAAATGTTGACATGAATCATTTGTTTTAAAACTAAGAACGTCTTTATGAATTGAATATTTCTAAGTAGTAGTGGAAAAACAAATATTAATATTTTGTTATTTAGTACAAGTGTTAGATTCTACGGTTGAAGGATAATATATGTCTATGACCCAATACTATTTTAGTAATAGATATTCTATCCCAAATGAGTAAAAGATGGCCAAACTTTGGGCATTTTTTTTGCTAGATGCGCACCAGAAAATTTGTAATATGTGTGCACAAAAATGTTGATAAAATCGGTTATTACTTTTCTCTCAAATATCAAAGATATTGAAATATATTTGAACGAGTTTGTGGTCGCCGCGAGCCACGGTATCAGTGCGTGGCGGCGAGCGCGCGGCGCACGTAGCGCAGCGCGGCGGCGGCGGCGGCGCGCGGCGACGCGCCGGCGAAGGCCAGCGGCGGCGCCGTGCGCTCCAGGCGCCGCACGGCCAGCGCGCCCAGCGCCGTGCGCTCCACGCGCAGCCCCAGCGCCGCGCACGCGCGCTCCAGCTTCTCGTCCTCGTCCCCGCCCTCACCCCCCTCCCCGCCCTCAGAGTCAGAGTCAGCCCCCAGCACGCGCAAGCACTCGGACCGCTTCTTTTCGTCTAGCGACACACAAACGATCATCATCTACTGCTATATTTTCTAATATTAAACTGGATATAGCACAGGCTCATTTCGACACCTGACAGTTACAAATAATTGTTATATACTTATATAAAAGTAAACTGAGAAAATTGAACTATGCAATTATTACTGATATATATTTAGAGTTCAACAAAACAACTCTGGCCCCATTAAACTTTCAAAATAGGAATATATATCAACGTCACTGGAAAATGTCTCATTCTCATATATATGTTCTTTGATAAATTTTACTATTAATTTAGAGATTAACATAAAAATTAGTGTTCCCATATATCTCTCACAGACCTTTTCATATACATGTTACACGTCATAGGTATAAATTATATGATTAAAAGTAACTTCATCAATAATTATAAATCTTTTTGAAAATTCTAATCATAAAAATTACTAACATGTTCATTTAATATCTATTATACGGAACTTCTAGATAATATCTTAAATACTTCTATATTAAAATATAATATAATTAGAAATTCATGAGACATGACATTAGGAATAATAAAAACACCACCAAAAACTAAAATTAACACTCAGCAACAAATACACTATTATAACAATTAAAGTAATTTAAATACATATAAGCCAATCTAAAACCAAATACATAATATAGGATTCCATACCAAAATAAAGCTAGAAAACTAAAAATACCTTTATGATCCAGTTGCACAATCAAACTTTATGGCGATCAACTAGACTTACCTTTTAAACACTTGTGGCTTATAATAGCAATAAAGGATGTCCAAAAATGACTACTTAAATAATAAATTATATTTCTGTTGTTTAACACAATTTAAATGTAAATGTGATAGTAATAGGTATATTTCCTCTCCCCATACCAGACTCCGCACGCCGCAGTACGAGCAATGAGCATACTGCAAGTAGATAGACATATTTTGGTTGTGTTTTGTTAATTCTTTAAATCCACCTCGATTAATTATCTATACAACGTCATAAGTGATAAAAACAAACATACATATAGACATTACTACTCCAAATTACTCAAAAAAAACATACACTAAATAAAAAAACCAAAAACAGTGTCTCCAGACAAGTGGTGAGTAGTAAAGCGAACACAACATAGTGAGGGAGGGAGGGCCCCGCGGGTTACCAATATGAGTGAGCAGACCGAGGTGGAAGTCTGCGAGGCGCTGGCCGAGGTCGGGGCGCCAGGCCGCGTCCGCCGCCGCGCCGCCCGCGCCCTCCGCGCGCTCCGCGTAGCGCGCCGCCGCCTCCACACCGCGCTTCTCCTGCACGCGCCGCTCGTGCGCGCGCGCCAACGCCTCCTCCTGCAACAGTGCAACCCACCAAGCACTAAACTAAGTACTGTATTTTATGCCCATGAGGCGGACAGTGACCGAGTGAGGGCTGCGGTGAGTATTCCCTTACACGAATGCACAAGGAAAGTAGCTGTTTGGGAGGAGTGGCGAAGGATTACGAGTATCAAGCATGCCGCAGCGATCAAGTGACGACCGTCGACCGTCGACCACGACCACTCTGTCAAGAGTATAACAACTCACAAGAACTGTATTTTACATTTTGTTGTACAACACAAAGAATTGCATTAATAGAACAAATTACAAAAGGAGAATATGACAAATGTTAATGGATTCTTAAAAAAGTGTGACTCTTCAATGAATTTTTTAAACATATTTAACAATGTTGAATGTTTGATTTTAATAGGCCAACTATTCCAGTTTGGTTGTATGTACAGTAAAAAAAATCTCATAAAAACTCAAAAGTGCAGATTTTCTAGGCAATTAGTGTTCTGAAGATTTCTTAATTAATCTGTGTACGTTATAAGTTTACAATAAAATTTAAATAGCAAAAATAAAATATAACCTCCACAAAATCACCAGTAACTCTGGCGAGGTTCTCTCTTAGATATGTGTACAGTTGTTCAGCAGCAAGCTGCCTGGCAGCTTTCTTAGTAGTGGAAGTAGCCTGGCGCTCGTGCAGGCCCAGGGTTGCACGCACGGTGAAGTGACGTTCGTGCGGGGGGCCTGTGTCCCCTACCAGCTCGTACTCGGGCTCTCGGAGACGGTACTCTTCACAGAGCTCCTTGAGTAGGGCAACATAGCTACGAACATCCAATGTTGGTGCAGCAGGACCACACGATGGACCCGCTTCCTATAAAATAAAAAACTAACTTTGAATACTATTGTCCATTATAAAATGGTAGTTTCTATTTTCAAAACAAATTGCAAAAAAAATCATTGGTCAACATTTCTTATGATTATGGCAATGTTTTAAGTTATATTTATCATAAGCATCTGCTAATCAAGTGATTAATTAAATAGCCACAGGCTTGTTCCTCTCTCTATACTCTGTAGATGTGCGATGCAGGCGCAGCTGGCTGTCGGCAGTGTTTGTGATTACTGCCAATAGTAATAACGAGTATGTTGTTTAAGTTATCTCTGCTAGACTTAGATTATAGAGTATTTAAAAAGTATATACGAGTATATTTAAAAAAAAGATATCACACAAAATTTTGTTTATTAAATAAAACTATCTTTTCGGATTATTTCGCGGATTTATTTTGATTTTTGGTTCCCGACGTTTCGAATGCTTTATAGCATCCACGGTGAGAGAGACTCAGTCTCTCCCGTGACCAAAAATCAAAATAAATCCGCGAAATAATCCGAAAAAATAGTTTTATTTAATAATGTCAAACATTCGCGTAAATCTAAGAAAGTATTAAAATTTTATTTTATGTAGTTACTTATTGTACATTTTTATTTTACACTACACATGTTATGACATACGGAGCCGAGACGTGGACACTGACGGTGCGATTGGTCCACCAATTTAAGGTCGCTCAGCGTGCTATGGAGAGGGATATGCTCAGAGTTTCTCTGACAGATCGGATTCGAAATGAAGAGATCCGACAGAGAACCAGAGTTATCGACATAGCCCAAAGAATTAGCAAGTTGAAGTGGAAGTGGGCTGGTCACATTTGTCGCAGAACCGATGACCGTTGGAGTAGACGGTAGAGTGGAGACCACGGCTCGGCAAACGTAGTGTAGGACGCCCTCCAGCTAGGTGGAGCGACGACATACGTAAACTGGCTGGCAGCGGTTGGATGCGTAGAGCTGAAGATCGAGCTCAGTGGCGTGCCATAGGAGAGGCCTATGTCCAGCAGTGGACGAAAGCAGGCTGAACATGATGATGATGATGAAGATGATGATTTTACACTAGCAGCTCACCCTCGCGTCGCTCGGGTTCAAAAAACACAAACAGATCTATCCCATGGGAACCATCCATTTTTCCGGCATAAAAGTAAACTGTTGTTTGACTGGCAATATAAGGTATCAGCATGCCAAATTTTATTAAATAAGTTGCATAAGTTGTTGCGTATTAAGCTGTATAAGTTACTATAGTTTTTTAACTAACTATCCCATGGGAACTTTTAAATTTTTCAGGATGAAAAGTATCTAAAATGTTGACCGGGAATATAAGGAACCACCATGCAAAATTTCATTTGAATGGGTCAATAGTTTCAGAGATTAGCCCGTACAAACAGACAAACAGATGGAGAAACAAAAAAATTGAAAAAAAATCAGGATTTGTTATATTTGTCTTCTTACATCCCCCTGACTCGGTTTTTAGCATCTTTTTTCTATGTACAGACATTCAACCTCTACTGTTTTATTATAGTATAGATTACAAACTTAAATAGACACAGGCCAATATTGTGACATTATAAGGGTATGGTGTTTTAACAAGAAACAAGAAATAAAAAAAAAAAACAAAACATACTAGTGCAGGCTTATTCGATGGTGATGATGGTGGCGAAGGAGGATTTTCCAATGGGGTAGCAAAAGGTGGTGGTACAGGTTGGCCTCGTGCATTTAGCTGAATTAACATTTTCCTAGCAGCTTCTTGTTTGGCTTCTTTCTTAGAACGAGCTTGTCCAGTCACAGAAATACCTTGACATTTACATCGGTATTCGAATGTTGCTTGATGCTGTGGACCTGACTGAAAGTATTAGATAAATATTATAATTCATAATATTCATTTATTTATATACAGTATATTAATATTAATTTACTAGTAGAGCATATATTACACTTTGTGTTAATAATATCATACACTGAATAAATTTACAATAAAGAATCACTTTAAGTTGTGGAATAGGAAAAATTGGAACACGACGGTGTAAAGTAGTGGTAGTAAGAAGGCAAAGAAGAAAAAGTATATTTGCAAATTATTGTCATAAAGTCTACATTAAAACACACCGGCTTAACGGTATAAAGTATCTATACCATAACATAATAAACATTGAGATAACCATGCAACAACGAAGTTAAATTTCGCAAAATAATATTGATGATTACTCTTTTCTTACCTGTGATATGCACTCATATTCAGGAAGCTGACCTATCTTGATCATCATTTCGTTTAACACTGTCACGGCCGTCTTCATTTTTATTGTTTATCCTAATTTCTTTAAGAATAAAACATTTAATGCAAAAAGTTTACAGTACTATTTAACTTTCAACATTAAATTTTAAAACATAACCTGTCAAATCTAAAACTTTGTGTTTGTTGACAATTGACAATTTACATTGAACCGTGAACGTAAACGTTTATGGTTAAAAAGTACAATTTTCTTTAAAAAAAAAACTAAAACTTGAATAAATACAAAAAAAAAAACAAAAAAAAATTATACCTTTGTATCCGTCCGGGAATCGAACTCGGACACCTATGATTGTAAATCTTCCGTCTTTTTTTTTAAATAAACTAAAAACTTGAATAAATTATTTAAAAAAATAAAAGTAAAAACTTTGTATGCGACCGAGATTCGAACTTTGACACCTGTGATTGTTAACCTTGCATCTTGACCGCTTGACCACGATGTTTATTCCCGAGGGTGTAAATGACTGACCAAATTTTGCCTAGAATAGCAAAAGAAAACAGCATGAAAACTCGAAAACACGCGTTTTCTCAGACATAAAACTAATCTAGATCGATTTACCGCCCCCGAAACCTCCTGTGTACTAAATTATATGAAAATCGTTGGAGCCGTTTCCGAGATTCAGATTACAATTAAAAAAAATAGTATTATTATTCGCCAATAGGTGTCAGAAAGAGTAATTTTTTTCAGTTTATGTTTAAGTGGCAACATTAGAACTACCCGAACACCACATTTTTATTTTATTTTTTCCAAAAAAAAAAATTAGTTTATGTTTTAGTTGATTATTGAAAACACGAATAAAACGACATTTTCTAAAAATACCTGGGCCACCGAGCTTCGCTCGGAGTTTTTGGTCATAAGTACAATTTTATTTAAAAAAAAAACAAACAACTTGAATAAATACAAAAAAAAAACTAAAATCAATTATACCATTGTATCCGACCGGGATTCGAACCCAGACACCTGTGGTTGTCAAACTTGCTTATGTCCTAGTGTACGAAATTATCGAACATAATATTTTGCGTAGAATAATGCAAAAGAAAACTGCATGAAAATTCGAAAACACGCGTTTTCCCAGATATAAGATTAATCTAGATCGATTTATTGCCCCCGAAACCCTCTGTATACTAAATTTGATGAAAATCGTTGGAGCCGTTTCCGAGATTCAGATTATATATTCATATATATACGAGCAATTCTTGTATATATATATATATATATATACATACATACAAGAATTGCTCGTAGCCACTAAAACCAATATTTGTCTGCTGAAAGGCAAGTCTAAACCACCAGATCTAGTGGAAAAATAAAATCCACTGAGTTGGCACTTGGCAACACTAGCCTCCATAGTGTCATCTTTCGATGATATAGAGAAGTACCTTTGTAATTGTTTCGGGTAAATTATAATAATAATCGATGATATGATCGGTATAATTTTAAGAAATATTTTCTCTATAGTTTAAAGTTTCTTGTAGCTTACAAATATTTACAGGTTCTGCTGTTATTTAGTAAGTCTTATTATTTCCAGTTGGTAAATAAGATAAAATTTTAGTATTTTCATTTTTATGTTTTGTTTTTTAAGTGATTTTAAAATATTCCAATATATAAGGATTGTACTGAATAACAGTTTTATATAAAGGAAAAATGTTATTATAGTAATAAAAAATAAACATTGTTCAAAAAATGTTCCATGGTCAAAAAGAAATCGATAGTCGTTATCGATTTTAATCATGGAAGCTCTAACTTTATTAAAAGTTTTGGTATTTTACCAGTTTTGTAAGAATGAATTGGAAGTTCTAAAATTAAACTTATTATTAATATCTATAACTTTTATAGATTAAAATAAAATATTTTTGATTCTTTTTAAAATTAGGTTATTTTATTATTGCTAATTATAGTTAAATTATAAAGGCGTAATAAATAGCTACTATTATGAACATTCAAGCGTGTATGGTTGGTCAGTAGCCGGCTTGCGATTCAACCCAAGGCTTTAATGATCTCATATAATACACAACTTACCTACCTTTGCTGTCAACTCTTCTTATTAAAATTTTAAACGGATTTCAAGACCATTTTTACTGGTGACCAGGATTCCAGGACCAGGTGACAAGGACATTTTAGTTTTTATCACTAATTATCGACTCACCCTTGCTTCGCTCGGGTTCATTCCTAGATACGTTTTAACGGTTAGTATAGAATAGATAGACTAGAGAGAATAGATATATTATACATACATAGGTAAAAATAAATAGTTCTAAACATTTCGATTTTCCCGCTTTTTTTTTAGGGTTTTCCTTCTTTTTATACTTAAACCCCAACAAATAAGTACACACCCCTAACCAGGGCCGGATTTAGGGGTGTGGAGGCCCCAGGGCAAAAAAGGAGCGGAGGCCCCTAATTATTTTCCGAATAAAATGATCAATTTTTTAGTCAAGTGTTTTAAGTATTTAATGCCAAACAAATGAAATTATTTTCAATAAACATATGTAGATATCAGGGACCGTAAAACCCGGGTTTAGAGTTAAGCCAAAAAAAACGGTTACCCATTCAAACTGAACGTAGAAAAACCTTGTTACCCATTAAATGTGTAACCTACCTTTAAGCAAATGAAATGTGTTAATCATTTGTAATGATAGCCCTACTATAGAATTAACCCTATCGAAAGGGTTACCACATCATTTTACGTGATTATCCCGAAACTTCTAAATTCGTGTAGCACTGCAAAACAATGTTAATTTAAAGTTTCATACTCCTACCTGTGCACGTTTACTTATTAAAATATATAATGAACCGTCACAAATGTAAGTATTTATTTTTCTTTTTATGATTGTATATTTTATTTAAAAATTGATTTTAGTAACGTTTTATATATAGATAACTATTTTACATTTACTTTTATTTTTAATTAATCTATATCTATACTTATTATAAAAATAAGTCCCCCGGCCGCGTCTTTCTGTCCTCCTGTCTGTCCTCCTGTCTGTCTGAACGCGATAAACTCGAAAACTACTGAACGGATTTTTATACGGTTTTCAACAATAGAAAGAGTAATTCTTGAGGAAGGTTTAGGTATATAATTTATTATGCTTTTATGTAAATTAGCTGAAATACGGCGACAAATGTTGAAGAGGTCGCAAAAAATCTCGCCAAATGGGAACTTTCCACGCGAACGCCGCGTAAACTAGCAAAGATACAGTTAAGTAATGTACTAGAGAATTCAAAATCTATAAAAATGCTACAAAAAAGTCCGCGATAGCATATCTCTATCTCTTACGGTTGACTTACAATAACCACTTTTATGTTAACATTTTTAATTAAAAACATTACGTTATTTTCAAAGTTATTTTCTTTAGTTCGGTATTAATCCTTATCCAAATGAATATTTTAGTTAGCTTAGTCATTTAATGCAGATTAAAATTGCTCTTTACACTAAATCAATCAGATGAATAGTTTTTGAGATATCGTTGTTAGAAGTAATTAGTAGCGAAACATTTTTAATGCTTGGCGAGCATTGAGATGCCTACGGCGAGTCCATCCCCTCTGCCCCGCATCGCTCGACCGCCTGCTCAAGCTATATAAACCGGGCGATGTAGCGCGCGATCCTAGGATACTTTTTACCGCGGGAAAATATCTTATTTCTGAGGAAAAATACAAAAACTGCAATGTAAGAGTATACTAATATGTAACACCTAAGAATTTAGTTTTTGGTCATCTGAACGCGGGCGGAGCCGCGGGCAATGCTAGTTTTATAAAAAGCTGAAATAGTACCAGAAACGGAGCCAAATAACGATAAAACCCAATGTGATAGCCCCTCTTCAGAAAAACGACTCAATGAAGGCGGTAATTAATCTGTTTACATAATAATACTTGTTAAAATCTTTGTTTTTCTCTTGATTTTTTGGGTTTTCAAAGGGTAATAGCAGCAGCCTCTTTCTCAAGCATGTTTTTAAATACTTGTAATGTACATATATTATATAAACTATTTTTTTAAAGTCTAGGTTCTTACTAATTACAAATTTGTGTTTTTATATATTACAGAATACCAAGTTGATGAAGACTCGTATAATATATTTGAGCCAAATTCTCAAAATTTAAACCAATACAAGGATTACGAAGCCCGTGATACATTAAAAACAATTGAATTTACTGAAAGCAGTACCCAAACGTATGCCGAAGAAAACACTAAAAAAATGGAATTTGCAAATAATGCTTTTGGAACATTCGTTGGGCTGGAATTGGCTAATGTACCGGTTCTGAAGAGGCGTTACGTTATGTACCAAATAATTAAAATTATAGAGAATAATTCATAAATGTTATGAATAAATTATTTTAAATTAAATTATTATTCTACATATTTCTTAAAATAAAAAGACATAAATATTTACATAAAACTTTATTTTTTATTATAACAAGTTTTTAAAGAAGTTTCTATTTTTCTAGTCATGTGTGTGTGTCATGTGTGTGTGTTTCATGTGTGTGTCATGTGTGTGTCATGTGTGTGTGTGTGTCATGTGTGTGTCATGTGTGTGTCACGTGTGTGTCATGTGTGTGTCATGTGTGTGTCATATGTGTGTCATGTGTGTGTCATGTGTGTGTCTTGTGTGTGTGTCTTGTGTGTGTCATGTGTGTGTCATGTGTGTGTCATGTGTGTGTGTGTTTCATGTGTGTGTCATGTGTGTGTCATGTGTGTCAGATGTGTATCATGTGTCATGTGTGTCAAGCTTGTCATGTGTGTGTGAGTCATGTGTTGCGTGTGTGTGTCATGTGTTGTGTATGTGTGTGTGTGTTTGTCAAGTGTGTGCGTCATTTGTGTGTGTGTGTGTGTGTGTGTCGTGTGTGTGTGTCATGTTGTGTGTGCCATGTGTGTGTATCATGTGTGTGTGTCATATGTGTGTGTCATGTGTGTCAAGCTTGTCATGTGTGTGTGTGTCATGTGTGTGTCATGTGTGTGTGGTGTGTCATGTGTGTGTCATGTGTGTGTGTGTGTGTGTCATGTGTGTGTGTCT